GCGAGACTGTCGTAGCGAAGGCAAGCCATCCCTCTATCACCAGCAGCAGCGACAAACCAATCGAAAGCCTGTTCATATCCGGTAGCCAGGCTAGTCATGCTCTTCGTGCTGGAGCACATGGATACCTGGCGTGGGTGTCCATCATGGATGACAATAGTTCGGATGTTGATCAAGGGACAACGCTGCAGAGACCCTAATCATCTCAAGAACTGGAGGAGCTGCCGAAAAGTTATCAAGATGTCTTCCCGGATGAGCTTCCGGAAGCGCTACCACCCGAACGAGATGTAGACCATGAGATAGAGGTCGAACACGGAGCGAAACCTCCATCAAGACTTGCCTACCGCCTTTCTAAGCCTGAAATGGACGAGCTCATTTCGCAGCTGCTTCAGAAGGGTTTCCTGAAACCATGTAAGTCACCATATGGGGCCCCAGTATTTTTTTTTAAGAAGGCTGACGGGTCACTTCGTATGGTTTGTGATTGGCGGGATTTGAACAGAATTACTATTAACTCTTTTACCGCTAATGACGTAAATATACGTCATTGAGAATGACCCCCTTCCAATAACGTATATATATGTCATGGTATCAATGACCAGTTGTAGGTGTCATTTTTAGTGTGTGGTCGTTCCTGGCCAGTTGGTATAGTGGCTGCGTTCGATTACACACTTGAATCGATTCATGAATCGATTCAAGTGCATTCAAGTCGTTCGATTTTCATGTCATGAGCCCCTCGAATCGATTCGGAATCCAGTCACCCTATTCACATGGGGTGATGTGAATAGCGAGAATCGATTCATGAATCGATTCGTGAATCAATTGGCGCGGATAATCGAATGCACTCACTCACTGCGTCATGCACGAGAGGTAGCGGGTTCGAATCCAGCTTTGTTACATGATGCGGCTTGTTTTTTCTTCTTTTTCACGCGATGTTTCGGCTCAAATTGCCGACTTTGCCGTATTTTACGCAATTTGGGCGAAACTTCGAGTCATATGACGCCTTGCTTTTGAATGCTATATCAAGTTAGTCAATGTGATGGTAGTAGTCGCGGCCTCCATTTCCTAAAACTTCAAAAGCCCAGTTGCCAGGGCCATAAAGTTGTGGAACTGGCCATTTGCCGTATTTTTAGCAATTTGCCCAGTGGCTGAATGGCATACCCCTATAGCGGTAAAAGGGTTAAGAACAAGGCATGCCTTCCCAACATAGATGATTTGTTCCACACTGTCCAGGGTTGTACGTACTTCAGCAAGTTGGACTTACGTTCTGGCTATAATCGAATCCGGATTAAGAGAGAGGGTATCCCGAAGACCGACATTAACACACCATTTGGACATTTTGAGTTTAGTGTTATGGGGTTTGGCTTATAAAATGCTCCAGCGACGTTTTAATCCCTGATGAATTCGATTCTTCAACCTCATCTACGTAATTTCGTCGTACTGTTCCTCGACGACATCTTGGTTTTCAGTAGAACCTGGGCTGAACACGTTGAGAACATCAGGACTGTTCTAGAGACCTTAAGGACGGATCAGTTGTACTGCAAGAGGTCCAAATGTGAGTTGGGTGTGAAGGAAGTGTTTTTCTCAGGGCATCAGATAACTGGATCATCTATCGTCCCGGACCCTCGCAAAATAGAAACCGTACGGGATTGATCCCCACCATCTTCCATAACGGAGATAAGACAATTCCTCGGTTTCGTGAACAATTTCAGAAGGTTCATTGACCACTTCTCAAGTCTTTCATCTTCATTGGAAGAAATCACGGGGAAGAATGCCCATTTCATTTGGAACACTGAAAGGCAGAGAGCATTTGATTCTTTGAAGAATGCGCTTCTATGCACACCAGTTTAGAGATTGGCAAACGTTGACAAAGCATTCCGTGTAGAAACTGATGCCAGCGATTTTGCTGTGGCAGCCGTACTATCGCAGGAAGTGGACGCTGGTTCGTGGTTACCCGTTGCCTATGCTAGTGGGAAATTGTCCTCGGCTGAGCGAAATTACATGGCTGCAGAGCGAGAAACTGTGGCCATTGTGTTTGCCCTCAAGTCGTGTATTTGTTCCAGCACTTTGACCTGTACACTGATAGTATGGGCGTTGTGTACCTTCAAACTAAGCACCAGCTGACGAAATGGGAGGCCCGCTGGGTGGAATTTCTAGCTGATTATGACTTCACGGTCCACCATAAACCCGGCAAGTGTAACATTGCAGACCCTTTATCACGCCGCCCTGATGTACGAGAAGGTTCGCTGGATTTCAGAAATGGCGCAGGAGTTCAGTCGGACACCGGGCAAGAACTCAATGCCATCGAGTACTGGAGGTAGATAGTTTGTTGGCCAGGGAAATTCTTAACGGATATGACGAGGACCCGGAATTATTGCCAATTATTGAGAAGCTTAAACAACCCCAAGATGATAGTATTCATACACAATATTTCTTGGATGACGAATCAAAGTGACTGGCCACGGATGGGCATCACTGTGAAGCGGTTTGTCAACGGTCCTGTGACATCTGTCAACGAACCACGGGTGGTCAGCAGAGGTCAGGCCTACTGTAATCCCTTCCTGTCCCCTCCATGCCCTGGGAGCACATATCCATGGACTTCATCATGGGCCTACCAAGTATGGCACGCGGCCATGATGCTATATACACGTTTGTAGATCGCCTCACTTATTATGTTCAGCTAGTCCCTACGTCCTCCACTGTGGATGCAAAAGGCAGTGGAGATATTCACATTCGAGATGTTTTCAGGCTGCATGGCTTAAGTACAACTATTGTATCAGATAGGGATCCCAGATTCACTGCAGCATTCTTCAGGGAGGTGTTTGACTGCCTCGGCACCAGACTTGCATTCAGTATAGCAAGCCGTCCCCAAACGGACGGTCTCACCGAGAGGGTAAACAGGATTGTGGAAGATGTCTTGAGAGCCTTTGTAAACTGTAAGCATGACAATTGGGACATAATTATTGTTACCCCTTTGTGACATATTGTTACCCCTTTGTGACATATTGTTACCCCTTTGTGACATATTGTTACCCCTTTGTGACATATTGTTACCCCTTTGTGACATATTGTTACCCCTTTGTGACATATTGTTACCCCTTTGTGACATATTGTTACCCCTTTGTGACATATTGTTACCCCTTTGTGACATATTGTTACCCCTTTGTGACATATTGTTACCCCTTTGTGACATATTGTTACCCCTTTGTGACATATTGTTACCCCTTTGTGACATATTGTTACCCCTTTGTGACATATTGTTACCCCTTTGTGACATATTGTTACCCCTTTGTGACATATTGTTACCCCTTTGTGACATATTGTTACCCCTTTGTGACATATTGTTACCCCTTTGTGACATATTGTTACCCCTTTGTGACATATTGTTACCCCTTTGTGACATATTGTTACCCGTTTGTGACATATTGTTACCCGTTTGTGACATATTGTTACCCGTTTGTGACATATTTTTACCCGTTTGTGACATATTTTTACCCGTTTGTGACATATTGTTACCCCTTTGTGACATATTGTTACCCCTTTGTGACATATTGTTACCCCTTTGTGAGTTTGCCATCAACAGTTCACGGCAATCGTCCACTGATCAGAGCCCGTTCTTTTTGAATTACGGAACTGACCCCCGGTCACCCTTTGGTCTACTTGCACGGGGTGGGGGAGAGAATAATCATTCTCTGGGGATTCAGGCAAAAGAAGATGCCCTAAAGATGGCAAAGGATGCCGTGCATGCAGTCCAGGCCCGTCAAGCTATGTGTGCAGGCAGAGGCCGACAGCCTGGGAATTTCAAGGTGAATGACTTAGTCTTGCAGCTTGGTTTACAAGGATTCCCTGGTGACCCCCGAATGTCGTATCCAACCATGTCCTAAACTCCGACCAAAATGGTATGGCCCATTCAGGATCACTGAACGAGTGGGCCCAAATGCATTTCTTTTGGATCTCCCCAGCCCTATACGCCGTCACCCTGTGTTTAATATTACAGCATTGCGTCTCTATACAGAAAACTCCATACCTGGACGGACTCTACCTCCGCCCCCACCAATGACTGTCCTCGATGGGCATATCCGGTACATCGTCGAGGCCGTCACCAGCCATAGAATGCGAAACCGGCAACGGCAATACTTGATTCGTTGGAAGGGATACACCAATGCTACTTGAGAACCTCTCGAGAACCTACTGGATGAGTCAGGTAAGGCGATTGTTCCTCTGCGGCAGTATCTGTCGGCGCAGAATCTGCGTCTCTGGCCTGATGAAGAGAATTGTGTAGGGTTGATTATTGTGGCGTCGTTGAAGGTATCATTTGAAGACTTTGGCATAAGCATAATTTCTGCAGTTTTATGCCTAGTTCCTTTCTTGAATAGACAGATTTCAAGTACGGTATGGTATGAAGGTATGTAATGATTACAAATTTTTATTTGGTTCACCCTTAGTGGTTTCAGAAGTTATTGCAACTCTTTATTTTCTTCGACGTGTCCTTGGATTCTCTTCTTGCATCAGTATCATTTTTAGTGTTGTATTGGCTTGAGCACAACTTGAGGAGGTGGATGGTGCAACAGTTCTCACCTCATGCCTAGCACCCAAGGTGCACGCTACGCTGATTACCTGCGTTCACACATATTCGTCATATAATTATAACGTGTTGGGTTAGCTTGATGAAGATGATTATTCCTTGGAAACGCCCTTTCCGTTACATAAATAGCCCCAGTAAATTTTAACACATATGTCATGTATGTCACGCATGTCATGTATGTCATGCATGTTATGTATGTGTGCAACCGAGGAACAAATACACGGGCAAGAATCTTGAATTGGTACAACCCAAGCCGGCTCCAGCACTCATGCATTGGGTTGTAATGAGTTAAACTTTTATGCAGTCACATCCTTGTGGGTGGTGTCTTTCCTACGGATGCGTTAGAGTCGGCCTCCAGCCGAGTCTCATGCGAACCGTGGATTATTTCCCCTTGATAAGCTTCCTTCCTGTCTCCGAGAAATGAGTCACATGCAATGATTTATTCAGAATGATATTAGATCATGATCCAAATATTTCGGCCTAAGTCACAATTATTTTTTCAATGAAATATCAGAGAGATTGTGATAGATTGAAAATTGTTGCTGATAACTATGGGATGAAAACACGACACGATGGTCCGTGAACAAGATAATAACAGCAGGAACAAGCAAGTATGAGGTCGTGTCAGCAAAGAATTTTGATTGTTGCACGTCCATGGTCCATCCAATGTTGGCTTCGCATCACAATGAAAACTTATAGCATTGCCCACCGTATAGTGTGTGTATATACACCGGAGTGTATGTGGGCGGATTTTGTGACACCAATAACGGCGCACTTGCAATATGTCCCTAGATTTCACAAATTATAAAATTGAAATTGATTCGCGGAAAATTCCCGCCATCAGAAATAGGATAGGATGAAATTTCACGGAAAGTTGTAATAAGTAAAATGAACGTGCACAAGAATTGACCGGGTTCTAAAATGATAGTCAAACATCAATAAGTGGTTAGGTGGATATGAGCAATTTTTTTTGGATGCATGGGCCATTAGGCATCATGCTGAAGACATCATCTTCTCAAGAAACAAGGAAAGCACACTTTAAAAATTAACGTCAGTGGTATCTTAATGGCAGTAGTCTGCATGGGCTGGTCAGGCACCTCCTACACACATGCAGGCATGTGCGCAGGCCACACACACGAACGCGCCCACACTCATACACACACGCGCGCGCACACACACACACACACACACACACACACACACACACACGCACGCACGATAGTCTGCAGTGATCCGCAAACCAGCCCTGTTTCACTACGAACACCTCCCTGCGAACATGCCATGCCACACGTCCATCACTGCCGTTAGTGCAGTGGCTCACACACGGGTGATGACTGCGAGAGAATAATGATGCATAGCATACCCACAGTCATCACTTCCAAGGTATGCCGGTGAGCGGGAACTGCTGGTGGCGGTGACACTCCAGTCCGTGGGAGTCCACCAGAACTTCAACAACAGCCTGACTGGTGTGGAGAGGGAGCTACTCATACTTGCCTTCAATCATAGAGGCCAGGCAATATACCTTCACACATAGAGGCAGCATGCCCTGACCCAGGCTTTATAACTCCGGTGGCCAGAATATCATGATGGGCAGTGATATGTCACTACTCTGGTCGTCCGCCTTGCCACCCGAGACCTGACTCTGGCGACGTGACCCCGGCGAGCTGGACATGGTTGCCGTGGAGACCGAGGGCCTCGCACCCAGACCGGTCATGGTACGTGGGTGAGAGAGCCCGGTCTTTGCGGCAACCGAGTCCGAGCAGGGCCGCACCTGAAAGCTGTGTCCAGACGCAGTCAAAACACACAGTCACAGCCACATCCATGTAAACATACACACCCACATGACCACACATCCATGCACACACACACACACACACATACACACACACACATGACCGGATACACAAGCACGCACATAAACACATGCATGCACACACGATTGCACACACGCATGCACGCACGTGCGCGCGCACACACACACACACATGCACAAGCACACACACACTGCACACACACACACACACACACACACACACACACACGCCCGCCGCACGCGTATGCACACACATAGAGAACAAGTTTTGATCAGGGGCAGAATAGAACAAGCCGCCAGGGAAATGGATTTCTGAGTGGGTGGACTGCATCAATGCAGTATATTATCTTTCCCTACATTCCCAAGATCATGTATAACTTTGCACAACGGTAGCAACAGCTACTGGAACAGTGCTTCATTTGTGTTACGCACAGTGCAGCACCGTCATTCACAGAAAAGACAAGACACCCGACTAGAAATTGGCTACCGCTCAGAGCTTCATGCTTGGCATTACCTGGCTCAAGATTGCTATTTGCATGGAAGTCTTTGTTCATCCTTCGCAGGAGACAGATAGAATGGGATTTTCTAAAGTGGTGGGAGGTGAGTAGATCAGATCCACCACCAAAGTGGTCGCAGACCGGAATATCCCATTTGCTGCCCGTAACAGTCTTAGCAGAGATCAATCCAGAGTTGTTTCTTCTCTCCCATTTCCGACTACAGTCAGACCTCGCTTATCCGGTCCTCTTTTATCCGGATCCCTCGCCATCCGGAAGAAAAATCATTGGTTACCGATTTACAGCATATGCCATGCATACATACAGTATAGTATGTGTGTTCGATTATCTGGTTCCCTCGCCTATCCGGATATTTTTGTGGAAAACCGTTGTGTGCGGTTAAGCGAGGTCTGGCTGTAGCTTCATGCACAGAATACAACAGTACCTCACCTGACAATGTTCTGACAGCAGACGTCAGAGTCGATAGTGACACTGAACGTGTCCTTCAGGGACGTGGCTACAGCTTCCACGTGCGCCACGTGAAACGACGTCGCCTCCGGCTGAATGCCTCCACGCAGACTCTGGAAACAGAAAGCAAGAACAACAGTTAAGCTACTCAGCCAGAGCTGCTGCTGTTTCAGGATTGGACTTGACAAGTTTGCACCAACGTACTCACACCTATTCCCACCTCACCAACCCAGTACCCTACTGGCACAAGGTATACTGTCAGTCGTCTCATGTTCAACACCAGACCTACTAGCAGCTATCAACCAGGCACGTCAACGCTCCAGGGAGAGGTTACCGTAAAAGTCCGTAAATACGTACCTGCCCGAAAGAAATACCCCCTTCATACTTTTGGCTCTGTCTGTTGAAGTCAAGTCAAGCCAGATAAACATACTGCCCGAAATAAGTACCGGTACGGTGCGCACATGCAGCACGTAGCATGTACATCGACATGAAAATGACTTCTCCACTACACACAAGTCAGGTCCGAAAGTTAGTTCGTGCTCGAAAGTCAGTACCTGCCCGAAAGTTAGTACGGGTGTGGTCCCCAAATTCGAAAGTAAATACGTACTTATTTACGGACTTTTACGGTACATTGAGAGGATTGTAGGTTTTGCATGTGTCTACATCCTCTTCCACACAGCATGGATAACCTGAACCTCCCTGCAACACAGCAGCATAGATGGCCTGAACCTCCCTTCAACACAGCAGCATAGATAGCATGGACCTACACATGAATGAGGAAGCCTATCTCGCACGCCACAATGTACCCCACCACTCCAGCCTCCCACACCCAATGGACAGAGAGGGAGGGGGTAGGGGAGGGGAGGGGAGGGAGGTCCATTCGAAGTACAGTACAGTCCAATGAGATCCGATTGCGCAACTGTACAGGCAGAAAATTTCGTCGGTCAATAATTTCGTCCAACTCCACAAAGAAAGGGATTTCGTCCGGTTGAAAATTTAGTCCATGGACTATATAAACAGTGTATTGAAACGCTGTACAAATCGACATTCGTCCGCCATTTAATTTAGTCCCAAAGCTCCTTGGACGAAAAAGACGAAATTAAATTCCAGACGAATATTTCTGCTTGTACAGTATACATGGGTGGCTGTGCTGAGCCCTAGACCTGCAGACACTGTAATGGGAGCTGGGACAACGCTGTAGTTGCCAGGTATCTACACTCAGCATACCTGCCATCTATCTACAGCTGTCGTGCACTGTTTGGCGTCAAAAACCATTGAACTACTGTGAAATCTGTCTAAGACGACCAATCAAGAGCCCTTCAAAGCGTGGATTTTGTAACACGGTGGCCTCCTTATCCAGGGTTACTTGACTGGACATAGCACCCCTTGGTCCTTGTTGCAGTGGTTTTCTGGGACAGGTGGTCGCCTTATCCCAGTGGTCGCCTGGACAGGTTTTACTGTACCTAGTCCCCCCCCCCCCCCACACACACACACCCCATGAACCAGCCAGCCTACTGCACCGCTACCCAAACAACTCCACAAGAGGATCAATACTACGAGCACAACTGCGCTCTCTCTCTCTCTCTCTCTCTCTCTCTCTCTCTCTCTCTCTCCCTCCCTCCCTCCCTCCCCCTCTCTCTCTCTCATAAAATGTGACTAGACGGCTACTCGTCTTTGCAATGGTGCTTACCTTCTTGAACATGCCACTACCGGAGCGGCCGGTTCCACGGTTTGCCGATGAGTCTGTCAGTGTCATCTCCAGTCCAAGGGATTCTAAACAGAGAGAATACCATCAGCAAGCGCAACAGAAAGAGCTCATCATCACCCATCTTACAACGGATCAGACCGTCTTTTAGGAAAACATACTTTGTAGACTGGGCAGTTCGTTATGCCGAACGCTCACAGAATGCAAAAACTCGAAAGACGAACCAAGAGAGAGTGAGATGGAAAGAGACAGGACATATTTAAGGGTGCACCAAAATGGGAGAAAGAACCTGCTGAACGTCAAATGCCATATGAATATCAATCTGCTCTCACTTACCAATGTTGGTAGGGCAAATGTCACTGGGATGTGGGATGTTCGACAAGCGTAGACCCCAGTACCTTGCAACTGGTAGGGTGGTAGGTCCTTGCAATACTTCATCTAGGCCAACCTGAATAGAGAATGACCAACGCATATGCATGCAAGCATACGGGTGAGTGCATGGGGCCCGCGCGTACACAGTCATGGATACACAAACACACGCATACATACGCACACGTATACACACACGGACACAGACACATGCACACACATGCACACACATGCACACACACACATGCACACACACACATACATACATACACACACACACACACACACACACACATACACACGGAGTGAACAACTACCCAGAAAGTACTACATCATAAACAGAGACACTTCAGAAGAGAATGCATGCATGCCGCATAGGATGAAGAGTTGACCACACGCTGTTTAGAAAACATTACAGCGAACACAGCTTACCTTTTGAACTTGAAGTTTGATTTCTGGCGCTCTCTTCGTCTTGGCTGTATAGGACATAAACAGAACGGACAAGTGAGAAAAGTAAGGCATTGAGCAAGACCGTAGTATCTCTCTTGATCTGTACAGAGTAACATGTGACAGAAGTGTGGTGGGGTTATACAACAACTACATGGCTACACAAGACAGCCCAACATACTACTATTATGTAGAAAGGAAAAGGGCATATGGATACGAGTTAAGAGCAACTCTTAGAATATACGATTGTTTAATCTAGTTAGGAAAAGTGAATTCTGGAGAGGGGGGGGGGGGGGGGGGGGGGGGTAATCGGGGATAGAAAAATAGAAATCCGTAGTATATGATGGAAAAAGAATGTAGTCCGGAGGATACACAATCTACTGTAAAACCGGAAAGTCTAACGACCGAAAAGTTTAACGTTTTTTGTAATTTTGGCATGATAACGTGCAGCAAGTTTAACGATGGCTACCTGGCCACCCAGAACATGCATCGATGTACACGCATCTTTGCACAGACATCTCGAACAGGGTTCACGATAACGTTTCTTCAAGTAACGAAAACCAATTGACCGTTAAAACTTTGCGACTCGTTAGACTTTCCGGTTTTCCAGTAGTCCCAGGGCACATGTTGGATGATGATGATATCAAATATAGCAGAGATTGAAGAATCGATCATTGAATTATTTTATCGTTGCTACTCTTTTTATCAACATTCAGCCTGTATTGTATTATGTCATCCATTGTTACCATTTGTTGGTACTGTTGGTGCTGCGGGTGGCAGTCGTCAGTCAGTCAAGTGTCAAGTTCGGCATGAAGCGCGTGTTCCTCGTAGAAGCAACCAACTTCATCATTTTTTTGGTAGGTCCCAAATGTTGGCACTTTCAGTGGTATACGAGTATACACCACCTAACTATTAACCCATCCAATTCCATAAGAAGTTCACTTCAATAGGGCTTGAAAGTGATGACGTCAGAAGTCAAAATCTAACGACAAATAACGACCTTTGGATCCACTTGAGTCCATTTTTTTATAATGGGTCCATACATGTTTCGGGTGCTTTTCCTTTGCAGCATAGTGACACATCCACCGGTAGGTGTGGGTCCATGACCGGGAGGGCCTAGTCCAATCACTACCAGTGGATATGTCACTATGCTGGGAAGGGAAACCACCCAAACATGTATGGGCCCACACAAAAACTGGACCCAAGTGGATCCAAAGTTCGTTACTTGCCGTTGGGAAAAAGCGGCCCAGCGGTACCGAAACCACACCGGCTACCGGAATTAACTATACACATTGACAGTAATACATGGCTACGTGATACGCTCCGTCACTGATCAGCCTAGGAATGGAGACAAGTCCTCACCGGGAATGATCATCTCCACACGATTCAGGAAAACATAGGTCTCCGTGCGACCGGTTGCATCCGTCACCTGCACAACACAGTCCCGGTAATGAGCGCCGGACAACAGGTGTGAGATCAAAGCGACCATTTAAAAAATAGTCACTACAACGAAAGATGGAAGTTGAATACTCCACTGCAGCCGCATATATGGTGGAAACAAAGTGAAAACTACGAGGTAAACCCAGCACAAACACACAGCTCTCCCATCTATTGTGCTGCTGGTAATTGTCTTGTGTTGAAACAGCCCGCATACTTGTATAACATTCCTGGACCAACGGGCCTTGACAGTGCAGATCGCAGTCTCACCTCGACTTGATACAGCTTGCATTTGACTTCATACTGAGCCTGACGACAATAGCTGAACACTGCATCCGAGATCACCTGCACCCACACAACACATAGCATTCAACAGCCATATACAAAAACATTGAAGGGGCGGTCAAGCGGTGGCCATACTGCCAGCCGTCCAGCCAACAGCAGATATAATGTGCATTCACAGGGTGGTTACATAAACGATATCACCTGTAGCAGGTCGTGGCAACTCAAGAGAGTGTTTGAAACACTTGGACGCTGAGTCTTGTAAATAATTATACAAAGACGGGCCAGGAAGCTGCTGAGCCGTGCAGTCGCGAGTCAGATATTTTCTATACAACGATAGAGAGCAGCGAGTCCAGACGGTATGCTACTACATCATGAGCACAAAGCAGGACTTGCCGAAGCAGTCTTTCATTGGTCTTTCATTGGTCTTTCATACTGTGTGATTGATACGACGGGTACACAGGACATCCTCAGCAGCACACATGCGTTGGCGACCAAGGGAGTCGTCTCGGCCATGGTCTGGACAACCTAACTGGTCCCGTCGTCCGTGTGGAGTGGACTACCTGTGTTCTTGGCACCACTCCATACAGACACCCCAGAGGATGATGTGATCACATGACCTCCATAATTATGATCACATGACCTCCACACTGTGATCGCATGACCTCCATGCTGTGATCACATGACCTCCATACTGTGATCACATGACCTCCATACTGTGATCACATGACCTCCATTCTGTGATCACATGACCTTCATGCCGTGATCACATGGCCTCCATACTGTGATCACATGACCTCCATAGAGTGATCACATGACCTCCATACTGTGATCACATGACCTCCATGCTGTGATCACATGACCTCCATACTGTGCAGCACACTCACTGACCGTTCTTGGTGTGGGTCCTCCACTGTCTGATGTTGCATCATCCAGTGTGTTCAGTATTGCCTCAGAGTCTAATGCCTCCTGTTGGAAAAAGAGGCATAGGAAAAATGAACACGTGCATGATGGGTTAGACTAGCACTTTTGGGACTCGGTCAACTTGATTGATCTATGTGAGGTTGACTTTAAGCAAAGTAAGGCAGACACCATCATTGCAAACAGGTCTTGTCTACCAGCACACCTCACGCCAATGACAGCATCCAGTAATTACGGGAAATTGCCAAAATATTAGTCGTAAGAAATCCTGAGGCTTTTCCCACCATATAAATTACAGAAGTATTACTTGCTGAAATGTTGAAGATGAGTACTAGAATGAAATGACTGATTTTTTAATGGTCTGTACTGTACATACTGTGGCGGACATTGAAATACTTTGAGAAGTCAAGCGGCCAAGGGCCGTAGACCTTACAGCAGGGAGCACTGCTAGTCCATTTTTACAGTTTGTACATGAACACATGTAAGTTACGCGAAAAAGACAAAAAAAAGGAGCAAGAGCGCCGGCCCCGGTCTTCACATCGGTTTTCAACGTCCACAAAAGAATTACGCAGTGTGTGTGAATACAGGAGTCCGGTGTGGAATTTAGAGATCAGGTGGGCAGCACGACCAAGTGAATGTAGATAGGCAAACATTACTTAGCTTGAATGACTGCTCTGCACTTTCACTAGAGGATCAGCAAAACTCAGAATATCACAATACCATCTACAGAACGGCCGGGTGACGAAGAACGTAGTGCCGAAGAACGCACAGGGTAGAATTTCATGAAGCACAGCATAGCGATACACACAAGGCGACTCTATTGCGCATAAACTGTAGTCATGACAATAAGAACGGCCCAGGCTAGGTGGCTGACTCCCTCAGTGTCTACGGCACCCCACACTACTGCACTGTTAGACCAGAAATGTTAACGAACATTTAATTCTATGTAACGAACTTAAAAAAATCTTTCACTTTTGAAGTCGTTATGTACAAAGCGATATGTACATGTACTGTCATTTGCCGGGTTTGACACAGAATTTCACCTCGCTAACCCACAAAATTCCGGAGATTGCTAACTTAAATTGATGTTTAAATATGTGGTCTTACAGTACTGCACAACCAACCTGTGGTAGAACACGTAATGATCCGTGAACGGACAGCATCAGATTACGCTCATACCAACCGTCGAGATGAGCCAGGAACCGACCGAACCACACATCACCTCCGTTCTGCGGTAGCTCGTCGGAACCTGGTAAACGGCGAAGAAAAAAATCCACACACGAAATCATGCACGCATGCATATGCACACACAGACACAGACACACACGCACGCATGCCACCTGCTATTAACACAACAACAAACCACAGAAACACTCCGAGGCTTCGTCATAGGAGGGGGTGAAACTCCAGATTCTGGCAAAAGTGCAAATAAATTGGCAAAATGCGTGCACACGGTCCACACGTGCATGCGATGCAGGTCATTTCCCGAAAACCGGTAGTTCGGGGCTGTAAGTCCGGAAGTAATTCCCCCACCTCTTCTCCTTCGACTTTTAGGTAACGAAAGGTAGACTTACAACTGGTAAAATACGGTACTTGGTCAAAGAAATATATAACGCTCTTGACCTGTAAGGCATAAAATCACGAACTGGCATGATTGTCAGACAGTAGAACTTGCCATTCTTCTTTCTGCAGGGTCATTGCATAGATCCCCGACTACATTATCAGCAGAGCTGAATTCCTCACCTGATGATTCCAGGTCTAACAGTGAGGTCAGCAACTCGGGTGTACCGGCTGTGCGACTAGAGCTGATCGTGGCGCCCTCGTACAGGTGAAAGCGACGGGGAAGCTGAGCAACGCCTGTTGCACAGATAATAAGTACACACAGAATGCATTGATTTCAGAGTCACCAGCCACCTTTTGCGTGGGCGTGTCAAATTTTCACCAGTTGTAGTCTTCGGGGTGCTGAGTCGAATGGTCTTGGTCCGAGGAAGCTGAGACGCTCCCTTCCTCCTTTATTCCCAATCGAACTCGCGCTCTTCCACCGAAACTGGGAGACGGCGCCCTACTAGATGGGGATTTGTATGTAAAATGTCACTAAAAGCGCCATGTCGTTCTTATAAAAGCACGAATGACCGCGAATGGTCCATATGTTGTAGTTTTTTGGATGCTGAGTCGACTGGTTTTGGTCCGAAAAGGCTGCGATGCAGCATTCTTCCTTTATTCCCAATCGAACATGGTTGAACAACTGGTCACGTGCTCCTGCGTACACCAGTCACCTGGTCACCGTGCCTGCAGGGTACAACTTACTAGCCTGTTTGACCTTTTTCGGGTGCGGTCCTGTCACTCGAGTTGAACTCGAGTTGAGCCTTGGTGTGAAAGTTGTCGCCTGCTGGCGCGGTGACCAGGTGATTTGGGCACCCAGGAGCACGTGACGACTTGTTCAACCATGTTCGATTGGGAATAAAGGTGGAACGCTGCATCGCAGCCTTTTCGGACCAAAAACAGTCGACTCAGCGTCCACAAGACTACAATATATGGGCCAATCGCGGTCATCCGTGCTTTTATAAGAACGACATGGCGCTTTTAGTGACATTTTGCATACAAATCCTCATCTAGTAGGGCGCAGTCACCCAGTTTTGGTGGAAGTGCGCGAGTTCGATCGGGAATAAAGGAGGAAGGGAGCGTCTCAGCTTCCTCGGACCAAGACCATTCGACTCCGCACCTCGAAGACTACAACTGGTGAAAATTTGATTTTAGCCTTAACTTCCCCTTTAATCCAGAAGAGTTCCGAACTGATCTCTGGAACACACAATCCAAGTACTTGAGGAAGAGAGTATTTGCCAAAAGACTGGCCTACCCTGGTGCCACAGATCGACAGCTCTTGTCAAGCTAGCTCTTCACAACAGCAACATACAAACACTAGATTGGATGAGCGATGGATACAGTCTTTAGTACGTGGTGCAAGATCCTCTGCACTATTTTTTTCCGAATTGTTTCTCAGAGCAACCCTCCTGACAGAAGATCGGTTGGAGCGTCAGCGTGAATGTACTTTACACAGTGTGAAAGTCATAGTGAATGCCACAGTTGTGACCCCTTACCTCCCACCTGTATGGGCACGGTATCAACCAGACCACCACCACCACCAGCACTGCTCAGCGGCACGTAGTAGAACTTGACGTCGAGGCCTTCGAACAGAAACTTGAACTTGCGCCTACACGACACACGTACACACACAGCAAAGAAGATGTCAAGTAGAAATACACGAGACATCGGGATAAGTGTTTGGGCTTCAGGGAGGAAGGATTGGGGGGGGGGGGGGGGGGGGGAAGGCACAAAGGGGAGGGGAGAGAGGGGCACAAAAAGCCCACCATTCCAAGAGGAAACAAAATAACAGAATTGGCAGGTTGCCTTGAAAATACACTCATGAGCGACAGAGTTTATCTAGCATTGTACTCGCACACATGCACGCGCACACACACACATACTACGCATGTGCTCACACACTTGCTAAAACCCCACAGACACATACACACACAACGTACAGATAAGCAAGAGAGACACAGTGCTGACCTCAGCTGAACGTAGGCTTGACTGACGAGTCGCACCGTGCGATCGTCTCCGGCAAACATCACCTTGACGATGGGGTTCTTGCGGGACATGACGGCCTTGTGCGAACCGCGCCGCTTCAGAATCTCACTGTAGCTGCTGCGCTTGCGAAGCGACGGTGATGGCAAATTCTCAGCCTGCACAGTGACGCACACAATGACCAGGGAGGATGCAGAGGACTATCGGACGAGACAATATTCCTAAAGAATGTCCTCAGAGAATAGAGAGGTTAAGATGCTCGCTATTTCCGACGTGACGCGTAATTTCATATAAAACTCCAAATTTCGACGTGAGCTGCAGGTGACTCACGTTGTTCTTTGAAGCGTGCGCCAAATAACACGAGCTGAACTTTCGCGTCACGTCAGAAATAGCGTGCATATTAACCTCTCTATTGTGTGTGCAGTAAAAGTGCAGGGGCGTCGGACACGCTACGGTCACTATGGTTTTGACCGTAGCACCCTTTGTCCCAGGTACCCTGTGAATTAACAAAAAGGCTCTGATTTTGAGCTTTAAGTTTCGAAATATTTCAGAGGAGACACCCTCCAACCTCACGAGTAAACCGTACTTCAGGTGGCTCACCGTACCACCCTTAAATACCTTCTGACGCTCCTGAAACTGCCACACGGTCGATTTGTCCTGTACGTCGTGAGCGATGCTGCGGCTGGCCAATAGCACTCCGGGAAAACAGCAGGAGAGAACTCACATAATGTATTTTCCGGAGTATAGGCCGCACTTGAGTATAAGCCGCACCCCCAATTTTTGTCGCCACTAAATCCACACATCCACCCTATATATCACCGTTGATTTGATCATCAGAGTATAAGCAGCAACCACCTTTTTAAGGGGGGGGGGGGGTTGAGTGTTCGAAGTGTGGCTTTTACTCCGGACCAATACGGTACTCACCTTGTCTAGGCTTGCTGATGACTTTGCCGCCGCCATCTTGCCATGAGAGAAGTCCACCGTGTCGAAATTGAACCGGCTACTCCCGGCACTGCTGGCTGGCCGACCGCTGGTGAAGTCCATGCTGCGCGATGTCGTCATTCCACTGCTCGAGGGCTTCAGCAGTGACGGCTGCGGTGCTGACTGTGACGGAGCGGAGTCGGTGGGTGGACTGCGCAAAGAGCTGTCTGATGAGGTGCTCGACGAGCCGGCAAGAAACTCACTGGAAAAAGTGAAAGCATAAGCAAAAAATCTGTGAATTGTTTGCACATGTCTGCCAGAAATCTCCAACATCAAAATATGACAGGAGTTTTCGGAGTGAGCTGAGCTAGAACATTATGCTGTACAGAGGCTGTGAAAGAATGAAACCATACATGCTCACAATACGCTTTAAAACGGTCTCAGGGCTACAACAATCAATGAAAAAAATAAAAAAACATCCCAATTTTCGGAAAAGGCCATCGAAGAACGAAGAACAAAGAGGCTGTGTACTCGTAATAACATGATCATCATTTAGAAAAAATAGACATCTTGTATGTCCAGTGGCATCGGATAGGTTTAGCGCTCAACATCTACAACGACGTCATTCAAATAACCTCTGGAATATTAGTTTTGCTTCTTTAGTCTTCTCAGCTGGAAACAAAGATCAAGGGCGGGGAGTGTTGGAGAGCAAGCTGGACATGAAAGAGGGAGAGCGACTTGAACGTGAAGCTGCAATACAAAAGTACCTCCAACAATATTCACGGTTCGCGTGAGACTCGGCCTCAGTACCATCAAGTAGTGAGAGAATCTGTATTCATTCACTAACAGTATGTCGTGTCCAGGGGACTTTACACTGAACTGTTGATCGTTGTCCAGCATGCAATGCTTTGCCATAAAGCAAAGAGAGGTCACTATCGTTGCATCAGACAATAGTGCACTTCCTATCCAGACTCATGGTGGCAATTCGGATATGTACAAGGCAGGGGTCAGAAAACATTGCAGTGCACACAACCTCACCTATTCTCCTTGTCCAACTGCTCGGCCTCGTCAACGGTTACCTGCAGACTGCTGCCTTCCGGTTTGAGCGTGGTAGAAGCAGAGCCCGGCTGCGAACTGCCAGAGGATTGGTCGTCGAGTGGTCCGGTGTCCCCAGACATGCTTGATGGTACGCTGCTGTGTGGAGACTCCTCTGCAGCGTCCATCATGCACATACACGTACACATACACACACACAGACACACACGCACACATACATATACACACACACAGATATACGCATACACACACACACGCACGCACGTACACCCCCACACACACACAACACACAAGCACAAACATACACACACACACATGCACACGAAAGAACAGAGGTTAAACAATTAAATTGGACCTTGGACTGAATGCATCACCATCGACTAGAGGTAGCAGTTAGAGTACTTACATGACACCTGTGACTTGGTCTATAAAATCCAAGGGGATGCAGTTTCTACCTGACTATATTACTGTAAGTCGACAAATTTTCGGCCCATTCAAATTTCGGCCTCTCAGGGCTAAAACCAAGAGTACATGAAAACCAGAGTGTGCAGCTTGGGGCCTTCTCTGCTATGGGTGTCTGTCACGGCGGAATTCCGTGATTACATCATTTTGGTGCAGATCTGAGGCGGGAAATGGCGTAGTGCGTACAACTGAGCTGCAGTTGTGCAGAAAGAGACCTGCTTGAATCCTGCTTGTACGCACTACATCACTAAAATGATGTAATCACGGAATTTCGCCGTGACAGCAACCCATCCGAGCTGCACACTCTGTTTCATGTACTCTTGCTAAAACCCATTTCAGTCACATCAAACTTTCAGACTGTACTGCTGCCGCCTGTACACACTGTCACACTGAACCTTGCAAAACAAAATTTCGGCCCAACATCACAAGGCCAAAAATACCTGAAAACAAACATGCGCCGAATATTTGTTGACTAAAATAATATTTGCCAAGAACAAGCATGATGTACATGTAGACACAGTAGGAACACAGAACAAGGAGAGTTGACGAGTGGGGCAGGTCAAGTGGCAATCTTATCTCCGTGTGATCATGACTTTTTGCCATGGAAAAAAATGCATTGATCACCAAGGAATGATCGTAGCTATGGCACAACCAAGGCAAGGATTTTCTAGAACATGTACTGCATAAAGGAATCCTCTTAGAAGCAGATATGGTGAGCAAAAAAACTCTCCTGCTTATAAGGCATACACCACACTCCAAGACAATCCAACCGGACCAGTTAACACTTCTCTGTGACACAAACGTGAAACACTCAAAGTCCACAAAAACCAGAAGGACACAACACTGAACCAACCTTGGAGGGACTTCTCCGGAGACAGGTTGTGCTTCGGGGTAGACTCGGCCGACGAAGAAGACATCACCTCACTAATGATGGCGTCGGCGTCTAAAAGCCGGGATCCATGGCTGGTGAAGGAGCTTGAAGCGAACTGAAACCATTAGCAGCAAAGAGAGGAAGAAGACTTGGCTTCATGTAAAGTAAAAAATCCTATCATCATCCTATCATCATCCTATCATCATCCTATCATCATCCTATCATCATGCTATCATCATCCTATCATCATCCTATCATCATGCTATCATCATGCTATCATCATCCTATCATCATCCTATCATCATCCTATCATCATCCTATCATCATCCTATCATCATCCTATCATGGAGAATTCCAGGTACTGCATGTTTTATGAAGCTGACACACAGAATGGCGGATAGACAGAGAGACAGATAGACAGACGGACGGACGGACAGACAGGTGGACGGACGGACGACAGACAGATGGACGGATATCACCATAGGCAGTCATATAGGCATAGGCACACACCAACACCCCCCTCCCCACTCACACGCATACATGCTCACTTGTTGCATTTCAAAAACTATAGCTCTTAAAGAATGGATCCATACATTCAAACTACACAGTACAAACACGCACACATACACACACTTCAGGTACAGATTAAAAAAGAACTCACATCTTCCCCATCTCGACTGGACACAGGCCTAGCTGGCTCATCATCACTGGACCTCCGTGCATAACTAGACACAGCTTCCGGTGGTAAGGAAGCACTCTTATCCGGTGTGTCGGGTTTCTGCTTCATTGAACCCGTTCCAGAGTCCGATTTCAAACGCTGCGCTCTACCAGCAAGTCCTGTCCACAAATACATCCACGTGCATGCAGGCACACGTGCACGCACATACACACCACACACACAACACACACACAGATACACACACACACACACACACACAGACACAGACACACACACAACACACACACAACACACACACACACACACACACACACACACACACACACACACACAATGCACATATTATGAGCATGAGTGTTAAACAAACACCAGTATGCATGAACTCATGTACACATGCAGGTACAAAAAGCATGAGCCCTATGCATGTACCAGTATGCACTCATGCATACATCCATACAGGACTCGTAAATGCAAAACACACAACACTAATCTTCAATCAACACTTGCACAGGATAGCAGATGCTATAGCCATGTTTAACCTCACACGTTGAAATTCAGTTCCAGAACCTGAGGGTAATGTACCCAAGGTGTTCTAAGGTTTGCACAAGCAAGAGTCTAGATGGGGAAGACCTGCTATGCCTTCTATTGCCTGTCAAATCATTCCACCATACCTCTCAAGTGCTTGAGATCGGCGGACGTCGGTACTGAATCTTTCCGTCTTCTTCCCTGATGTTCTGTGAGAATGCTCTGGAGCGCGGATTCGGCACCGCTCGAGTCGCTCACTTCGCCATCGAAGACGTGCAGTTCGTGCGGTCGCCAGGGTGGCAGCCAGAGCATAGGTTTGGCCAGTACTGAATAGACTTCCTCGACGGTAGCACCCATTTCAGTCGAGGACCGTGAATGGAGACTGCTATGGCTTTGTCTGCCTGCAAAAAAAACAAGTGAAGTAACGTAAAGTTGTGCACATTCATTTCTGGGCTGCCACCAGCGGCTATGCAAATGTGTACAGATACACAAGCAACTGGAGTACCATTAAAAAAAAGAGGACCAAAAGTTTACAAGTTATCCGTTTTGTCCAACACTAACGGTTATAAGCAGAATACTGTTGAGTCAAAAGTGTGCAACAATTAGCACAAAACTGACAGATTAGATCATGACATTCAACGGCCTGATGCTTAGCTGCATCACGTCCTCTTTTTTTAAATTTGAATCCTTGACTCTCCATCGGAGTTTAAACTAGAGTACCAATAGTACAAAAATATGCAGGACAGCGGCGGCGTATTTGTGCACAAAGAAGATTACGTCCTTCTTGAGCAATTGATTGGAAACATTTTCTCGTTTTACCATGCATATCCAGGGTTCTTTTGCAAACCACAGCATATCCCTTTTCCGGACTTCGGAAAAAAATGGGCTCTGGTTTCTACTCCTCGTTTCCTTAGGTTACGCTATGTGTTGAGAAAAAATAATGTGCAGCAAGAATCTGTGTGGCTCAATTTAGTAGATGATACGGAATGTGAAGATTATGATTTTCTGTATCGAATTTTGCAAAAGACCCTGCATGGACTATTGCAAAACCTCTTTCATGAAACATTCCAAAAATGTACTACACCTCAGCAGCAAAACCCGGGCGTGTGAGATGAGCTTGCTGACCTCTAAACTGCGAGAGAATCTCCTTCAGGTGCTGCAGGCGTGCGTTCAGCTTCTTGCGTCCTTGCTCCTGGTCGGCCAGCATAGCGGCCTCTTCACACGCCGTCAGTCCGTGATAACAGAGGTGAGACAAGTCAGGCTCATGACAATTCTGAACGAACAAAAACCGAGTACAGCACACCAAACAAAGAGAGGCTATAACATATACACAGCACACACAAGGTCAGGCAGATAGACAGATGACAAACTCCATAACATGTGCATTAGGTTTACAATTACTTGTAGTTTATGTTGCCTCGGAAGTCGAACTGCAGCTGTACAAATAATTATAATAGAGGCCAATGGGGGGGGGGGGTGTGATGGTCAGCATGGGTGAGTGCTTTGACCAGACAATAGATGTATGCTTGGGTAGATAAACTTTGGCTGGAATAAGCAGAGAATCAGACTAACATGAGCATACAAATGCACACACACGCACACACGCACACACACGCATGCACGCACACACACTACTACTACTACTACTACTAGCAGCATGACTGCCCAGAGGGGCAAGTGTCACCCCTATGGAAAGGGGACCAGAAAACGGGACACGGATCACAAGCAGGACCGCGAATGTCTGGCTAGGTCCTGCTGCCGGCGGAAATTGCGTTTACAACGTGGGCAGCTGAGGGGCAGACCTGCTCTCTCAGCAGCAGATGGTCTCGCACCACGATTGCAGTTGTGACGCTTGAACCCGGCCGCAGAACGGAAGCATCGCTGACATGTTGGGCAGTGCTGCTGGCAACAAGCTGAAAGTGGCACAGACAGACTGACTGTTGGTGTAGGAGAACTCGTGACAGGCTGGCATCGATGAACAGAGTAGCCACCCTTGCTGCGGAACCACCTCTGGCAGTTCTGGCATTGCACTGATCCACGCTGGAGCTGGATGGGAAGCCGTCTCTGAGTGGTGCACTTGTGCAGCGTCCTATCTGAGACCCGTGAGAAGTTCCGGTCACACACTGCGCAATGCACAGACTTGGGCATGGTGGAGCTCGACTGAGGGGCAACCCGTACTTCCCTCCACTGTTGGCGGTCCTGAGCAAGGATGAACCACTGAGATGGCTGTTGCAGTGCAACCCGGCGACGGTGGAAAGACACGCACACACACACACACACACGCACACGCAAGCACATCCAACCATAATGCATACACCATGACTTCCAGCCGATTTTCCACCAACATTGTTTCCGCACTGTAATGCACACAGCATACCTCGAGATCCGCTTCCAGCTCAGTCAGGTCTTTCTGTGACGTGTAGCCAAAGACCGAGTAGAAGATGTGCATGAGTAGCTTGCGCTTCAGCAGGCCGTCGTCCATGCTCTGACTTTCAAATGAGGCGGCGAAATACTCTCCCCTCGGCGCACTCTTGTCCACGATCACATGCACAAACTCAGAGTTGCTGAACACGAAGCAAATACAGAGAAGTGGAGAGAAGATCGTCAAGCACAGTGAGTGTCAACAGGATCCCATTGCAGAACTACAGAGCCAGTGACTTGTACAAAAGAGCACCAATGGGAGGAATGCATTGACGATGGCCGTCACCTTTTTGCGAGGCAAGCTGCCCCATTCTTGGCAGGTACAACCCATTCTAGTATATTCATGAGTATGACCTTACAAATTTCGTGATCTTTTATGCAGAGCTGGTATGACAGTGTGTACGGTCGTAGTGGACTTGAACCGCAAAACTTAACGGCGGGAAATGGATACATACGTTCCATTATACTGTTTGAGGCTGCAGGGGCATTTTTGACCACGTCCAAACAAAGCTTGGCTACTCTTCAGTTAATATTGATTGCAACATCTCAAGGCGCAGTGGGAACACTGGCCAATGTGAAGAGAGCGGGTGTTAGCCAACCATGGCCGACAAGTAGGGAGTCGCTTTTAAAAAAAGAAAAAAATCACGGTTCCTGAGTTTTCCGCATCCGTCGGAACGCCATCACCCTACAGGATCAGGGCGCAGATGCAGCTCCTAAGCGGTTGGAGGTGAGTAGATCAGACCCACCACAAAGTGGTCAAAGAGTCGCTTACCCATAACCAAAAATTACTGGTTCGAATGCTGATGATGACAGTCAATATTCTCCTCAGGCTTACTGCCATAAACAGCTCAGCTCTTTCCTCTGGCAAATGTCTGAAATCTACTTGCGGCATGAAACAGCATCCACAAGTACCGTCTGCATCAAGTCCTTGAATGATTCAGTTGACTATGCAATCCTGAACCAGAGAGGCATGTGGTTAAGTCAGCTGTTTGAAGTGTTGTACCATTGACTGGCCTTTGGCCATAATCGATTAGCGACTGACAATCTGATGAAACACAAAAAAAACGCTCTTACATTTTCGTGATGTCCTCCTGGCGTGGTACTTCAATCTGATGCTCGTTCAGCAGCAGACGCCGGAAGTGAATGCCTGCATTGTGATATAAACAGACATGGGGTGAGTTGAACATCATCAAAAGCATCATATCACAACATGATATAACCAGTAAACTGAAGGCCAATACTGTTCCCTTGGATCAATCATCATTAGGTCTGAATATTGTGTCATTATCCGTTAGTTGTTCGTATACCCGAGGTTCTTATTCGCATGGTTGACTGTAATTCCAATACTCACTGGTGAAGCAATGCATAGCGTCAAGCTCACAGAGTCGTCTTACCAGGACATCGTTGCTCAGTGAAGATGAAATCCAGCACGTCCCTGGCCACCTCACAGTAGGGCTGTGGCCAGAGGTAGAACGGCTGCACAGCCTGGTATGCGTTGGCCAAGTCCTGATTGGACAGAGTTGGTGTCTGCATGGAGAACAAAAACAACACCAACAATTAGAAATCAATGTGCCTATGGACCTACTATGGAGTGATCTATGGTGTGTACACTACTTTCTGACACCAGTTCAAACAAGGGTAGTTTCCAGTGAAACTAAGAAGTTGGAAGCGCCAGGCTACAGTCAAAATCCAGTCAAAACCCAGTCAAAATCCAATCAAGTCCAGTCAAAACCCAGTCCAAATCCAGTCCAAATTCAATCAAAACCCAATCAAACTCCAGTGAAGATTTACGTCAACATTCCATGTACACTGACCATGGTGGCTAGACTGCAGAAGAGGCTAAGCAGGGGAAGCAGCTGTTCCTCTTTGGAATTTTTCGATATCTGCAACTGCAACACCACAACAGCAAACACAACATGACAAATTATACACCATGCACACACACGAGACCTTATACCTGCCAGCTAGAGTGAACAATGCTTGTGGTGGACAGAGCACAGGACTCACAGGAAAGAAAATTTTGAATTTTTGCTTCACTTTAGAAGAGCCAAGGCCACCTCTTGTAACGGTTAAACCACACGGCCATATATCTCTATAGGCTTGCAATTGGTCCCTCTCGGACTTTACCTTCTTCAACAGGTCAATGACATAGAGAACAGCCGTTTCAGCGGACGCTGTTGGGTGTTTGTCGGAGGTGTCGGCCGGGTTGCTGGGGTCATTGCCGCATGCTAGCAGCTGACACAGATGTGCATAGTGCATGCTATGCATTACTGTAACAACGGTGCACCAGATACAACACATGCACAAATGTGCACACACACACACACACACACACACACACACACACACACACACACACATGCACAAACGTGCACAACACACACACGCATGTGCATGTGCACACACACACACACGCACACACACATGCACATACATGTACATACACAGACAGACAGATAGACACACACACACACACACACACACACACGCATAGAGAGGGAGATGGAGAAGGAGTCATAGAGAAAGCGACAACAGTTAGTTGTTGAACATAACACAGTTGACGCCTGCACTTTATCCCATCAAACAGTAATAATACAAAAGACAAGTAGAATCGTTCGCAATGAGTTCCATCTCTCTGTAGCAACACCGACAAGCGCTCACACATATATGCACACTCAAACAATGCACACTCAGATGGAGGAGCCTCAAACCAACAACTTGGAGAAAGCATACACGTGGGACACACACCAAAGTAGTGACTTTGCTCAGGAGAACTATACCACGGCTGGCAATACACCTCAAAGCACAAAGCGTGTGCGTGGATCACTGTCCTTATCATAGTCTGCAGCGTGCAGGCCCGACGGAACCGGTTGGCTTGGTCAGGTTATTACCGGACCAACTTCGACACTTGTTTCCTATTGTTGAGGGCATACACGTACATGTACATGTATGCACCTGCCATATCATACACAATGTATGAAAGCAAGATTTCATAACCCCCAGATTTCTTGATGATAGGCCATGATACTACCGGACCAATCAAAAACTGGCTCCGGCGGTCCTGGCGTGTGCACGCTTACTTTTCAAATGACTAGTGAGCGATGAGGAGGATGGCACACATGCCGTCATGCTGCCACGTGCAAAGCCCGTGCGACAGTGATCTACCAGGTACTTGATGAACAGCGTCTGATCTTTCGTCTTCCTGTTCGTCCAGTGAGACTCCTGCGAGATCATCTTGAACACCTGCAGCAGGAGAGTGCAGCACCAGAGCAGCATTACGGGATCAAGACAGAGCAAAGTACAAGCATAGTCGGCAGAATTCTGCAGTTTTGCTGCATCCCATGGGCTTGGGTGACAGAAAAGAGATGTGAGCAGGGAGAGAGCTATGTGAGAAAGTAACTAACAACCTAGAACAAAATGACACACTGCACATACTTAAAACACCAGTAATTCACCCAAAAAGAGCCGGCGCGGCTTATACCCGTTAAGTCCGCTGCAAACGCCCACCCCATCTTTGCAAGATCTGCTGGCCTGTACACACTGACCCCATGCACTGTCACCCCTACTGTACGAAAGTGCATCTCACATCGTAGCGGAAAGAGCACTTTGCTACGGTAAACTATGTCCACTTTCCTGGTTTCAAAATCTCTTTGGGCACTAGCAACGAGCTAGCTCGTAGTGATTTTATAATGATGGTTGTTTTATTTCGCAAAGCCGAACGGGTTTTCTTCCGAATAACAAGGTAGCGAAGAACTGAGAGTATTGAAGGAATCAAATACACTTCTGACGGTGTTTCGAGCTATCATTTCGAGATCACACAACGCCCAAAGGCAAATGTTTTTCTTGGGCACTTCGGAGTTTTCAACAAGTTAGCAGCGACTTTGTAGGTGTAGCTTCTGTGACATACCCTGTTCGACTTGCAACTGCAATATTGGGACCAGTCAAGTCATTGACTGACGCATCATCAGAACAAATACCGGTACTGTTCCTGACAGCGCGACATCATGGCACTGCACAAATTTCTACGGCATTACTCGTACCACATGGAGAATGAACTACCACAAAGACAACACATTTATCGAATGAAAGGAAATCTCGACAGAAGTTATTTCTCTGCAGGAAGATGATGGCAATCGCTTTTGCACAGCCTCCTGGTAGGACATAGGCAGTTTGTAGGCATTACAGTCGTTCTCGTACGCATTCGACCTTCATGCCAGTTGTTTACAACTATATTGACCTGAAAAAGACGAAAATAGTATGGACCCGCTGGGGTGGGCGTTTGCTGCGAAGTGGGCGTTTGCTCCGGACTTTACGGTACTACCATTGTCAAATTGACGGTGATAAACGGAGAAGATGTCTGCATTTCATGTCTAAAAATCTGGGTGCAGCTTATACTCCCGGAAAATGCGGTAAATGTACTTCTGCAATTTAACCTGAAACTCAGAAGACAAATAACTATGTTGAATGGGTACGGGATCATGCAAGATTTATCACACTAAGCCAGCACCTGGAGACTTCCTGTATGCAGAGAGGAATACAGGAACTGGGCCTACGTTACAAGGCTACGCATGACTATTGTACTGAGTCTAGCAATAGAAAAAATCATGCGATGACACCTCATTGCACAACACTACCGGGCATTTAATCTAACTAATTCAATGCCATAATCATGTCCCGCTGATCATAGCTGAGTTCACAAATCGATTCGGAGTAGGTAGCTGCTTCATGCCCGAAGACAGGACAAGATCCGAAGCAAGTAATATAGACTGTCATCATCATCTTGCGACAACTGTGGAAATATGCCCAGTGAGCAGGCAGATATCGCCTGTGCCTACGGTCTAAAGCAAAGTAGAGCTAAACAATCAAACAAGCACACACACACAGGACACCTGCGCCGTGTGCACATCACTGCCATTCACGTACGTATTGCTCCGCTTCTTGCTGCTGCTCCAGTTTGCGAGCTACACAGTGTAGAGGGATGGATATCAGCAAGCAGACAGGTGAGATGGAGAAGGCGTCATAAAATAACGTGCAACAATCTTCTCCGAAAATTGTAGATAACTGTTAGAATTAGGCAACTACAGGAAAACAGTGTACATTCAGACCGCCTGGGAGAAGATTTTTCGAAAGCATGGAAACATCAATGACTTTCCAGGATGGGTTTTTGCTCAAGCACTGCACACAACTTACATCCCACCTCCAGCCAGGACGTGGACCGGCGCTTCAGCCATCTCTTATGCAGACCAGATGAGCGGCGGCGATCCATGCTCCTCTTCACCCAGGCCCCTTCCAGGAGTCTGCCTCCAGTCCCGCAGGAAATTCAACACCTCTTTCCCACACCAAGAGACCTAGCTTGTCCAGCACTGGACTTTATGCAAACTATCCAACTCCACTGGCTACGCACACAATGAAGAAATTCCATTTGCTAAACTATGCTCGCTGTGCACAGCACCAGTTTAGTTCTCACTGGGTTGCTCTGTGCCAGCATTTCTAAGTCAATCGACGCCTTCTAGTTCCATGTGCCAGTCATAGTTGTGTTTTTGGTGGCACGCTGAGTCGTGCAAGTGGCAGCCAGCTGTTCATTGATACCCATAGGGCTGAAAAGGTACATGTGTGCATGCATGATCGACCACCTTGCAGCCATCTGTTCCTCTGCCTCATATTCTTTGACACGTGTACACACATATACACACACACACCCTTACACGTACACACCCTTACACGTACACACATACACACACACACACACACACACACACACACACAAACACACATACACACACACAAACACACAAAGCTCACTGATTGGTTATACACTAGAACTGACCCCATTCCCAGCGCAGGTAGATTGGACGCGGCACTTTGGGACACCGCGTGAAGTAGAATGTTGCGATGAAGTGCAGCGTGTTGAGAATGACGTGCTGGAAAGCAACTGTCCACACAAACACACACAAGCACATGGCACAGCACAGAGACGACTTGGCTTGGAAACACTCAAAGTCTCCTGGACTAAAGCATTTTTTTTCTACAAAATCCACATATCTCCAGACACTGGGGTGAATGATGGAGTGTGGTGGTGGGGCCCATTAAGCTCGCATAAGGCTAGATATAACATTTATAGAAAATAGAAAGGCCCAAGGAACCACAGGCTGCGCTATGATGTCCACTAACACCACCAGTTACTAAACAATCAGCCCATGCGATAACACGCAGCTTGTAGTGTATTGGTCCTTTCTCTCTTTTCTATAAATTTATCCTTGGCTCTCCATCCGAGTCCATTCTAGATATAAAAATTGATTACACAAGACAGCATCTGAACCATGCCCTGTCTTTTTCTCGTGGGGCTTAGAGCAGATCTGGCCCATGCCATCACTAGTAATCCAGCGTCCCGTGCCCAGAAGGAGTGTCTGTAAAGTGATGTGAAGTACTTAACCCTTTAAGAGCCGCCCCATACTTGAATGAAAAACTTCAAAAGATCGTAACTCAGTCCAATCTCGCTCAAATCCAGTGATCGAAATATCCAGGGCGAAGAGAAAACTCTCACCTGTCGGTAGAAACAATCCACGAAGCGCTGCGAGCAACGGTTCCTGAGATAAATCACTCGTAAGTTGAGCCGCGATCGCGGCAATTTCAAAAGCGCGCAGTGCGACTTTAGTATTGAGAATTTTGAGACTTTTCGTGACGCTGGTTTACTCGAATTTGCACGGGTTTCACTGTTGATATTGTCAAGAGTACACAGCGAAAAAATTGGAACTCCACGACCGAATAAAATGAAATATCTGGAACGGGACGCAATTGGACGCATTTGGGGCATTTTCGTACTGTCGCTGCGATCTAGCGCTGGATAGACGGTGTGCTGGCTATCATGGTCGACCTCATTCTCTTCCTCTCGCGGAGACCTTTCCAGGAAGCCCTAGATTGTGAGGATTGAGTGAGTAGAACTGAAGCTATGATCCAAGGAACACGAAAAAATGCAGAATTTTGAAATTTTCCTGTGGCTCTTAAAGGGTTAAAATGGCAGTGTTTCCTTTGGCTGTCATTTTCTATTTTTAACATTAGAGATCGGACAGCCATGAAGAGTGTAAGGTGATGGTTGAGACACGCAGACACCTGGCCAGCTGTGTTCAATTCAGACGAGTGCTTAGTTGGGAGGTCCAAGGACAGTAAAACCTGTCAAGGCGACCACCTGCCCCAGAAGACCACTGTAACCAGGACTAAGGGATGCTATTTCCAGTCAAACGACCCTGGATAAGGAGACCACCTGGCAACAGAGACCACATTTTCCAGGTCCTTTGAGCGGTCGTCTTAGACAGGTTCCAGTGTACGTAAATTCGCCCAAGACGGTACAGCCAATAGGCGTCCTAAATAACTGAGTGTCCGAATATCTCAGTGAGCCATAAGAACATGTTTCATTGCACGACACATGCCAAACTTGGCCGCAAAAAAAATGCTCACCGCATCGCTGGGTCAACGGTGCCGGCGTCACCGGCGCCTGCTTGACCCAGTCGCCGTACCAGCGGATGAAGTCCTCACGATCCTGGCGAGCGGCGTCGCGAGTGAACAGCTCCGACACCACGTTCTGCAGAGGCTGCTGACCTAAACGCAGTGCGAGCATACAGAATGAAGAAAATATTGCACGCTCAAATCCTTTCGAGGTATGACTAACAGCTAACCAAGCTAACGAGATATTATACAGTAATATAGTGTGACAACAAGGCACAAAGCTGACAGGGATATTGATCTTGTTACCTTGGTTTAAATAATACGTTTGGCTCGAAATCCGAGTTTCAAATCCTTTCGCACAAATCTGGCAGTTAGCACTGCACGTTATAAAACTGAATGGTCCAGCTAGGTAAAGGGGAATTGTGCAGTGCATGATATCAATATTGAAATTCCCGAAGGAGCCCTCAAGTACAGATACCTCTTCGGCCAAACAAGACTAGCAAGACTCTAATAGAAAAACTGGGCAAGAAATCACCACCTCCTTCATTTATGGAACAAGAAAGGTGAGCATATTCACACTTGGTTCAGCAGTGACATTCAACACTTGATTGATAACATAATGGAAATATGTGGATGGAAACTCTTTCTGGGAAAACGAACGCTTCCTTGCGTAGTCCACAACCTTGCCTCCTAACTAGAAAGAGTCCGTACATTAGCGCCAGTAAAAGGTGGCAAAGGAGGGAATAGCCTACGGTGCGAGTGCGTGTTTGTGTGCATGGTGGGGTGGGGGTAAGTGTGTGTGTGTTTGTGTGCATGGTGGGGGGGGGGGGGGTAAGTGTGTGTGTGTTTGTGTGCATGGTGGGGGGGGGGGGGGTAAGTGTGTGTGTGTGTGTTTGTGTGCATGGTGGGGGGGGGGGGGGTAAGTGTGTGTGTGTTTGTGTGCATGGTGGGGGGGGGGGGGGGGGTGCGTGTGTGTGGTGTGTGTGCATGTGGTTTGTGTATGTGAGGGGGGGGGGAGAGGGGTGCTACCTTACACCATGTGTGTGGTGTGCGTGTGCGTGTGTGTGCGTGGTTTGTGATTGTGAGGGGGGGGGGGGGGGGTGCTGCCTTACGCCATGTGTGTGCATGTGTATGCATGTGTGTGCAAGTTATGATGATATCTGCATCACTTACAGTGTCCACTATCCAAAGACACTAGGCGCGCTATCAGACAAGTTAGGTAGCTGTGAAAATAGCAAACCCGAAGAAATCAAAAACCAAAGATTCAACATTAGAAAGTGTGTGCAAGAATATCCTTGAGCCGGCATAAAATGGTGAAGGCTGCATCAAAACAAACCAAGAACCAGTACCGTAAAAGTCCAAAATTCATCGCCTAATTATTTTCAAACTTAGTACAGTTGCGCTCAGTGAAATCCGACCCAGCGTGCATAGTTGGCGCCCACAGCTCGCACGCCCTGGAAGTGGCACGAATGCGGCTGGACGTACACATGTACAAATACAATGATGTAATCGGAACTAGTACAAGGTGCCAGCTTTGCACTTCTGGGCGCATTTCACCCAGAGAAACTGTACTTACTTACGTGCTGCAGGGTACAGCAGTAAATTTGGGGCTCGAAATACCTTGTTGGACTTGACTGATGCGTAATTTGGCAAAACAATCTTTTTTCAACTCTCTCAAAGCCCGATGTTTTGTTTGCTTCTCTCCAGAAAATATGATTAATCGAACTCAAGAACAACTGCCCACAGTACGGTGAAGTAAAACGTTGTGTGTTTACCGAACCCTGTACCAAGCGGAATCCTGAATTGACCGCACAAATGTTCATGCACCAAAGTGCTGTGGATCGAACTTCCATCCCTAGATCCAGCGGAATCCTGTTAGTGTTTAAATCAGGAGAGTTTCCGCTACACCACAGGCGTCCGGTTTAGGCAGGTTTTATTGTCGTTTTGTCAACTCCGATCTAGCACTCATTACGATTTCGGTACAACATGGCTGGCCATGATTATTGCAGTGTCTTCAATAACAAAGTCTGCTGAGCTGATTCCGCTGGCAGTCGTAAGAGCACATTGGTTAAAACTAATTAATTAGCATGTGTATGCACTCTGAGGGACGTCATTTATTTTGTTTTAAAATTCTAGTTATCGGACCGATGTTATATTCTCTTGCCAAGATAGGGATTCATGCGCTTGTCGCATCACAGAGCAAGCAATTCGGGAATCAGAATCTTTTGCCAGTTTATTTGGGAGAACTCAAATTTTACGACATAGAAATAACAATTATAAGATTGAATTGTATCTTTTTTCAACGACGTACGCTGTGATTTGTAGCGGCTGCACGGTGAGTTGTTGCCACAGGCTGGCCGCACCAGACTCGCTCTCCATGCCTTGTGAGCCCAACTGTAGAAACTGGTCTACTACTTCAGCTACAACAGAAGAGATATCATGCCCGCGTGTCTCCACGACAGGAGCCCGACGCACCGACTCCATATTCGCAGCTGCCAATTTTCGCCTAGCGCACAAGGCTTCTTCCTTCCGGCATTTATTCAAGTTAGGGTTATTTAATTTTTCCTCAAACCATTGCTGTTCAACCTTCCTGTACACTGTCGTATTGGTGCCTATTTCGTCCGAATACTGTTTACAAGCAAAGGGAGGAAATGGACTGATGTCAGTCTCTACTCTACTAGATCTACTCTCGGAGACTCTAGTCTACAAATGTAGTCTAGTCGCCTACTACTAGTAGTACCAGTAGTCATCTGGTCATGATGGAGTAAAAATGAATGTTTTCATGTTTAATACATGTAGTGACTCTGTACTTGTTTGGCCAGTGGGATTGTATACAGTGCACTGAGTCTGTATATCATTGGGGCACTCCGGCTTCATTTTCGACGCCGAGTTTTCGATGCCAAGACGAAGGTAGGTGAAAGAGAAGACCCCTCGAACAAGAACGAGTCTCCAGAAGCGATCGAGTCGAGCAGGAAGACGACTTTTTGGATTTCGCCGAGCGAGCGCTGATGACGTAATGAGGGATTAGCTTGCCAGTGGAAATGCACCTGCGCACATACATTTTACACACTTTTTGGCCAATTTTCAATCGAAGAGGAGGTTGTTTGCTATGTTCTCCCAACGTCGTGAGCGATCCCGTCTTCTATACCCTTCCAGGTACCCTGAAGGTCCTCCAGACGAGAATTTATCTCCAGCAAAGCGTTGTTGATCCGCTAAATTCGTCTCGAGACATATTCAGTGCTGATGAATGTAGAATGTTGAATCTGTGATAATTGTCGACGATGGAGAGAGAGAGGCTGATAGCCGCTGTCGCAGGGAGAGTGAAGCTGCTGGAAGTAACAATGGGGAGCCCGTTTGTATCATCTGAACAACCAGACTTCAAAGCAGCTTGACCAAATCGGAGGGTGCCTCGTTGCTTATCGTGAATATTACACCGACATGAATTACTACAAGTATACTGGTGAGTTTTTATCTTGTTTTGTTCGTATGCTAGTACTCTGGCCTGGAGTTCTCGTTAGCACATTCCTATTCCCTGGCGGTTTCTAAACATTCCGTTTAGTACTGAATACGTGATCAAGTATTCCGATTTGGGTAGATGTGGAATTTGGACATGTATTTTATAAAAAAATTCTATCATAAGTTGCCAAATAGAGAAATGTAGAGAAATGGTTGCCCAAATACAATAAAATTGATTCTGCAGTTCTACAACTTGTACTGAAATCCAGTCAAAGTAAAAATGATTCTTCATGACAGTTGGGGTCAATGAAATCTGATCCAGGCATAACGAATGGTGACCGCGGCCTGCCACCCCGGGAACGAATGCCCATTTGGTGGGGGATACCAAAGTACTCGAAAGTGGTGCGTGTTTCAATGTGGCATTTTGGAAGTTTTATATGATCTCTGGTCAATGCAACATACGATAGCCATCATGAATTCCATGCCTCGAACGCAACTCAGACCAGAATCGGCAGTTCCCTAAGTTAGATGCTTTATAATTCCATGGCCCCAGCCTTAGTTATACCGTAAAATCCCGCCAGAGCGCCCCTACCTCCTCAACGCTTCAGGTGGGGAGGGGCGGATGGGCGAGTCCTACTTGCCGCATTCAGTGCCACATGAAAAAGTACTCACCCTACGAAAACTGTTCGTGCATCTCGTACACCGACCAAAGGTCAAGAGCCAGGAGTAGAACAGATCCGAAAAACGCAGGGTTTGTGCGATCCCTGGTCAGGAGGGTGGGCACTGTTGCGTACATTTCCAACGGGGTCGAGCACACGTCTACAGTGCAGTACGGCATCACAGACTGCGACAGAGTCATACGAGGATACAATCAATCACGTCCCTGACAAGAAGTCAGGGAGGGGCGGATGGGAGAGACGGGGCGCTCTGGCGGGATTTTACGGTCGAGGTTTTTTCTTGCACATTATTCTTATAGTCGATAGGTTTATACTGATGGCCACAAACAACGGCAGTTCAAACTTCACTGATGTGTTCATGAGCTGAGAGATTTCTCTCCACTATTTCTGTTGTGCACACAGGTCTGTCCAATATGCATTGACCGTATTGGGTATGGTATCTGCTCTGAGAAGGGAATCGCTGGAGCCACAGTCCAACTATACAGGCTTTCAAGAAACAGAGAGGAGCCATCTTTGCAAGCTGATACCTGATGTGTACCGACAGAATTCTCACGAGATACCTTTCGGACTACGTCTGGTGTATACTTCATAGTACTCCTTCAACTACGGTCTAGAATCAAGTCGACTGAAACAAGTTCAAACAACTCTGGCTTCAAACGAGCCGTCGATTAGACAAACAAAACATTCTCTCATATACTAGAGCACTCTGACAACTCATGACCTATTCCTAACGATTGCCACCGCTTATAAATATGTAGAGTGCTGATTGGAATGTGCTCACAATCTCAACAGTGCTATAATTATTTGAACAATGTGTTATAATATTCCACTTTTCCTTCCATAAATGTTGTATCCACATAATATCCACAGTGCTGCAAAGTTTCAGAGTTCTCAGGGTATCAAACATTATTATTTCAAATACAGTTAAATTGTTCGTGGACATTATAGCGGAACTTGTAGTCCCCTGGTCCTTTTCTTTGCTATAAATTAATCCTTTGCTCTCTATATGTTGTAGCTGCCGGCGAGTCCAACAGTGAAATTGTTAGTTCATATTTATAATGTGGGAGGGGGAGGGGGGGGGGGGGGTTGAACATATTTCTATATATATAAAGGGACCTGCAACTGTAATACCACAGTACAGTAGCCAGCAAATATGTAGAAAACAGAAATGCATGTTACCATCATTGTACATGGACGGGCGCAGCAGGCCGAAGCTATCAGCCAGAACAGGATTTACAATCACCTAGAGATACTTGAGCTATTCCAGTATTCTCCGTGAACTGTCCCATTCCACAATGGTTCATGCCACCATTATTTCTGGTAGTATCCATGTGCATAATTCCAAGACCATCTCGGATTCTTCAGCAATTTGTGCCACGGCAAAAGACAACGCTTGACTCGGTCACTGGGGCTGTCAAACTTCCCATCACAAATGAACTTCAATTTCTCATCTGTTTCAAGTATGTGTACTGCCATGACTTGACCATGCTTCATCCACAGCTGGGCGAAGATTGTGGCGTTGAATTCCATAGCGCACCTTCTTGCTGCCATGCAGGAGTATGTTGAGAGAAGTGAACATATTTTTACTAAAAAACAACAGCCACTGAAGAGGATAGCAATAGCCTTGGGTGAATTTCCTGCAGGTACACGTTGTTGGTAGGTCTACTGGTCCGTCTCCATATCGTCAAGTTCAGAAATCACCTGTACTACACATCTTGTAGAAGGGATCCTGATCGAATAATTTCTGGTCATAAAATTCACTAAACTGAGGGCGAGACAAATAGTCAGTACTCCCCGATTCCGTCAAGCTGCTTTGAAGTCTGGATGCTCATGTGATGCTAACAAACTCCCCGTTGTTACTTCCAGCAGCTTCACTTTCCCTGCGACAGCGGCTATCAACCTCTCTCTCCATCGTCGACAATTATCACAGATTCAACATTCTACATTTATCAGCACTGCACTGGGTGAATATGTCTCAAGACGAATTTAGCGGATCAACAACGCTTTGCTGGAGATAAATTCTCCTCTGGAGGACCTTCAGGGTACCTGGAAGGATATAGAAGACGGGATCGCTCACGACGTTGAGAGAACATAGAAAACAACCTCCTCTTCGATTGAAAATTGGCCAAAAAGTATGCGAAATGTATGTGCGCAGATGCATTTCCACTGGCAAGCTAATCCCTCATTACGTCATCAGCGCTCGCTCGGCGAAATTCAAAAAGTCGTCTTCCTGCTCGACTCGATCGCTTCTGGAGACTCGTTCTTGTTCGAGGCGTCTTCTCTTTCACCAACCTTCGTCTTGGCATCGAAAACTCGGCGTCGAAAATGAAGCCGGAGTGCCCCTTTAAAGGTACTGAGTCTGAGTAGATATCAGTGACCAGTCTGTGTCGAAAATGAAGCCGGAGTGCCCCTTTAAAGGTACTGAGTCTGAGTAGATATCAGTGACCAGTCTGTGTGTGTGCATGACAAGTGTGTTTCAGTTCGCTGATCACCGACTACATACTACATGATTGTACTGTACTCAGTAGTACATGTAGTAGTACTACTACTCAGACTGACTGTGCTAGTCCGCGCGCGCGGCTCGCCGCGTCAGGTCGGCCATGAAAGAGATCACGTGCCCATGGCCCACTGTACTGTTGACCGTCGAGTCATCGACCGGCGCGCCGTGCCAGTGCGCCGCCGCTACAAGCCGTTTCTCCGATCACTAGGCTAGTACCTGGCCTGGCTGATCCGTGATCGATCGAGCCGCATGCCTGCGTTCTGCGGTCGCGGCCTAGCTACATACACTCTATCTACACTACTACTGGTACTAGTACAGTACAAGTACAAGTACAAGTGCATTCAGACTAATCATTATCTGAGAGCAGTCAGTCAGTCAACTGACTGTCTGTGACTGGTGACCATGGTGACCTAGGTCGGTCCTGCTACTAGTACTAGTATACTGATCAGGCGTGTTTGACCCGTTTCAAAAGGCCTTTGACCCGCGATTCACGGGTGTTTCGCAGTGCATTGTAGCCTTGGCGTGTGTCAAAAACGTCGTTAGTTGTGAGTTGAAACACGACTGCATCACCATGGAAATTCACGATCAGACGTGACTTTTTCTTTGGCGCCATTAGCATTACTCAGGGTATTATTACACTAGCAGTACTAGTACAGACTCACAGTAGTATCTACACCATGTACCACACTCCACACTGCAGAGTGTAGTGTTTCTATCTCCATGATCTCCGAAGCAAGATGCCATTACTGAGTCTGTCTTTGTACTTGTAGTCCTTGGAAAAATAGGCGTACAAGTACTTGTGGTGCTAAAAGAACTACAATGTAGATGGTGCGAACTAATGCCTGGGTGGTGAACAGAGCAAACCTCAGATACAAATACAAATGCAGCCAAGTGAAGTAAGCATGGAGAAATGACTGATTACGGCCGTCAGGAATTTGGGGGAATCGGCTCCGACGATTCGTTGGAGGCGGATGAGGACTCCGAACTGGTACGGCAAGGTAAGGATGTTGATAATCGCACTCCCTAATCCTGTCTCCTACTGGCTACTGCTAGCTGTAGTAAACAATGTTGACGAAATGATCGGTGCTGGGGAATAGAGAGAGAAGAGCTGCGAATCTGGATGAATAGCATGGCGATGATACGATGGTGGCTGTGCACAGTTCTTTGTTGGGCATTATTGCCTTGGGCGAAGTAACAGTTCGCCGCCTGCACTCCAACACTGTGGGTGGGACGCTGGCTCGCTTCGTGGGAGCACGACGCCATGAACTACCGTTACTTCGAGTCACGTAACGCGGTGTACCTCTCTGAACCATGTTCATGCAACGTTTAGCTGTACTGTCTGGCTGTAGGGACCAGAGTGTGGTGCTCTGCTAATCTATTTCGTGACTGGTTCGTAGCTGTCTTCCATTACAGCCCTTGCTTGAGTGAGAGAAGTAATATCCTTCTCTAGCGAAGAGAGCGGATGGTAACTGAGAGTTGCAATTATAAAATTTAACTAACTTCTTACGTGAGCTATTTTGTCCGTGAGTCTAGCGGGAGTGTAGTAAAATTATCCCGTCACAGGCGAGTGCAAACTTTGTCAGTTACTTTTTGCTTTTCGAGCCGGCGAAAGACGAGCCCCTCCGTGGCTGCGGAGAGTTGACGAAGACGAGACGCAGTGAATACCCAGTGCAAGGCCCTGGCCTGAGAATCCGCCGAGTGTAAATAAAACCTTCCAGGTTATCTTTTGATAAAAAATGTATGGAGGTGTGGCGAGACGCGCCATGCTGCTGCAAGGTGCCATGATGCGGAAAAGCGAGTATGACGGTCGAGCGACTCCGTCGACTGACGGATGGGAGACGGCGTCGGACGACGGAAGTAGCTGCTATGGTCGTGTCGAAGAATCCGAGCTGAGTAAGTAGCGTCTGTCGGAAGAATTGTCTCATTGCCAGCACGACGCGTCTCCTCTGTAAGTACGACGCTACGAATAAGAAACAAGACTCCTGACACCAGAGCCGCGTAGATTCTCATCGCAGCAGGATGTCGACTTGGCATGTTATAGCCAAGCAACGGAAGAACTTAGGAAGTAACTAGTTAGGTGCATTAGACTTTTAGAGTCGCCGTATACGTGGTATACAGCCAAACCTCGCCATGCGTTCACCTGAGAAAAGCGGACACCTGCAGTTCAATTTTCTTTCGCGTACATTTTAGCATGCTCAACTCTAAAACGCGGCCACCTGTGAAATGCGTTGCAGGGGACACTCTCACAGATACTCTCACGAACAGTCTCACGTGTCCACATTACTGTGTGGCGCTGATCTAATCCACATAAACTCTGTACCAAGTGTGTCGGGGACTTTGTACTGTGGCCGGCTCAGCTAGCATCCGTTTTCCACAAAAAAAATATCCGGGTAGGCGAGGGATCCGGATAACAGAACACCGGTCATGTTGGATGCACCACGCATGCTGTAAATCTGTAACCCGCTGTTTTCTTCCGGATGACGAGGGATCCGGATAAAAGAGGACCGGATAAGTGAGGTCTGACTGTATCGAACTCATGTAAAACACATCAGAGTTGTGGATGTGATGGTTTCACGTATTGCAGCCAACAACATAGTGTGCGCACTGACTGGCAATGGGTGCAGCTAAGAGTTGAATACGCATCTAATTCAGCACATAATTATGGTCTTAGTTCCTTGGGTGTCTGTAATTGCTAGGTTCGACTCTACACGTTTTCAGTCGCTCATATCACATCGATCAGACACACGGTACATTTACATGGGCACATTTGTCTCGGGAAGGCCAGTTCGAGATGTTTTCTAACCTACTCTACATGTACAGCTGTGCTCAGTGAAGTCCGATCCAGAGTGCACCCTCAACTTGCACAGCCCTTGACTCCCTGGGTGTGGCACGAATGCGGCTGGACGTACACATGTTAAAATGCAATGATGATTGTAATCAGGACTGGTACAGGGCTGCCTAGTTTGCGCTTTTGGTCGGATTTCACTTTTGAAGTGCATGTACCCAAGAGTACATGAAAACCAGAGTGTGCAGCTTGGGACCTTTTCTGCTTTTCTGGGTGTCTGTCACGGCGAAATTCCGTGATTACATCATATTTGGCGCAGATCTGAGGCGGGAAATGGCGTAGTGCGTACAACTGAGCTGCAGTTGTGCAGAAAGAGACCCGCTTGAAACCTGCTTGTACGCACTACATCACTAAAATGATATAATCACGGAATTCCGCCGTGACAGCAACCCATCCGAGCTGCACACTCTGGTTTTCATGTACTCTTGATGTACCCGACTATTCTGCAAGAGTGTGTGGTGTGTGGTGTGGGGGGGGGGGGGGGGTAGGGTGCAGATATTGTAGTCACATCGCCGTTCATGTCACGCAGCTAGTAATAACTCAGTGGCTAGCAGGCGGGAGTCACGCTGTTCGTAGTGCTGCTATAGCATGGTGCTACGCGGCTTTTTGTGGTGACAGATTGAATTGCGACACTAAAGGGATGCTCAAAGCCAAAAGCATGCACCTCTGTGTCTAGGTGGAGTGACAATAATTGGATTTGGGTGCTCCAAATTGTATTCTATGTCTGATGCAAAGAAAACAAGTATACACAGGGTACTTTCTACTCAAGTTTAGCCGCACAATAACATCATAGTGACCACTATTCGGCTTGAGCACAGTCCAATCAAGTGCAGGACAATGCATGCTTCAATGTAATCACATGCGGGTTTTAATTTAATATAAGTCATCGAGCAAGCTTACAGTCTTGTTAAGACGTGTACAATCAGTGTGTTTGTATCCTGATTCTTGAAGTTTGTATGTATGTGTGAAATATGTGTGTGTGTGTGTGTGTGTGTGTGTGTGTGTGTGTGTGTGTGTGTGTGTGTGTGTGTGCGTGTGTGTGCGTGTGTGTGCGTGTGTGTGTATGTATGTCGGTCTGTCTGTCTCTCTGTTTGAATCTGTGCCTGCGTGTATGTGTGTGATCAATGATTGTGTGTCTATACAATATGTCATTGTGTATGTGTGTGTGTGTGTGTGTGTGTGTGTGTGTGTGTTTGTGAATATGTGTGTATGTCTTTGTGTGTGTCCCTGTGTGCTTGGTGTTCTTCATGGAGCAGAGTTTTACGAGTACGGCCTGACGCTTGGTGTCGACATACAAAACGAGCCAGAACTCGAAGGGATTCTCCTAGAGGGATTCAATGCTGAACCACCACCAAATTTCCGTGTGTGGTGAGTTATTATTCTGCCTTTGGGTGCGTGTATTCAAGATCATCGCCTATCCTCCAACTAGTAATCAAATGTGACTACATCCACACGCTTTGGACGAACATGACCGTGCTACGCAATCAAACAATGATGCCAAAATGGACACCATGATGCCAAAATGGTGTTACTCCATGTACGAGTGCTATTTTACCTCCTCACAAATTGCTGTACATGATATGCATGTACATGTCATCAATGTCACAACATGGTAGTGTGTGTATGGGGATCTATACTTCCTTTCGCGTACAGGAAAGTCATTGCGCGATCATCGCACGATGACTTTCCCGTACGCGAAATAGTTAAGCTCAGATCAACTTTTTTGCGGCGCGACGCGTTTCCCGTACGGGAAAATGAAGTATGATTCAGGCTTTAGAACAGGATTAGACTCAAGTGGAGAGCCAAGGATTAATTTATAAGAAGAAATGAAGACCAAGGTACTAGAAGTTACGCTGCAATGTCTTGGTTGCCCTCGTGCTGGTCTTGGTTGCGCTCACCTTCCCCTCCTATGTTATTTGTAACTTAGAACCTTCCAAGCTGGGAGGCTGTTGGAGTGCGCATCTAAGATGTGCTAGAGCTGATTGGCAGTTAGGTGTAGAACGTCAGTACCGTTGGTCAATGTCGTGCAATGTTATCGCATGAGCTGATCGTTTAGTAACCGGTGGTGTTAGTGGACATTATAGCGTATCTTGTAGTTCCTTGGTCTTCATTTGAGTCATTTCTTCTTATAAATTTGACAGGATTGATAGAAATAATGTGTACGCACACACCACGACACCAGAGGAACAATAAGTATGGATTTTAATGTCGTGTTCATATGACTTTCATCAGAAATCTTCATCACACTGAGAATTAGACTACAAAGGAACCATTACCATGGTACAATCAAGTGAAAAAATATTGGATCTAAAACTCATACGAGAAACACTGGTATCCTAGAATTAGCACTAAAGAAGGCATGACCAAAAAGAGAGCATTGTGGGAGCATGTGTGACGTTAAAAATCCGTACTTATTGTTCCTCAGGTGTCGTGGTATCAGTGCGTACACGTTATTTCTATCGACTATAGGATTTTTGTCTCCTTGCCTCTCCGACTTGTTATACAAGATTAACTGCAATGATTTCCAGACACATTCATCTTCAAACCAATGCAAAATCAATCCAAAAAACGAGAAAGTACGTATGAACGTGCACCAGTGGTCTGTGAAGGTTGAATTTCATCCGTGTTAGCAGACAACGAAAATTAACTGACCATCTACTGGAAAACGTTTCTAAGTACTCGCAGACTCCATTGCAGCCATCAACACATCAGGGTCCCTCAACTCTAACACTCAAAGCACAGTCTATTTGCTGCACACGTCACTGCATACGCCACTGGTAACATCACTGCATGCTTCACTGCATGCATCACTGGAAAAAAGGAGAATTCTAACTAGTCAAAAGGACCACGGAACTACAAGTTACACAATTATATCCACTAACACCACCAGTTACTAAACAATCAGCTCGTGCGATAACATTGCACGATTGCTTAGTAACTGGTGGTGTTAGTGGACATTATAGTGTAACTTATAGTTCCTTGGTACTTTTTACTTTTTATAACTAATCCATGGCTCTCCATCCGAGTTCAATTTTACCTAGGGTAGGATTTTTGCAATTTCTGGAAAAGCAATACTTTCACTAGAGTTAGGTGGCGATGATCGAAAGTTTGCTTGAAAATTCTCTGTCCGGCTTTCTCTGAACGAAAAATGCTGATCGCTACAGATATTGGTTTGTGTGTGTTTGCGTGTGTGTAGGGCGGAGGGGGGGGGGGGGGGGGGGTGGAAAAAGTAAACAGGTCTACCTGCTTGGAGGATGAGTAAACCAAAGCTTAGTGGTAGAGCATTGCTGATCTGTTGAAGATACCTGGTTCGACTCGTGCTGGTGGGGTTCATCTTTTCTTCAGGAGGGCTAGGGGCTTAACACATTCATTCCAAACCAGAGCTGGTTTACTGACCACTTATTCAAAATTGGTTTCCGGAGTTTGCCTGTCATAGAATTGGGTGTCTCCGAAAAGATCACGGTTCACTTAGGTGGTGAATAGTATGTAGCAGCGCTACAATGAGCTTGTCTTTGCCCAGATGACTTGCCGGTTGTAACACGAATGTGCAAACTGTATTTATGTAAAGTTTAACTCGGATGGTGAGCCAATTAAATTATGGTGAAAAAAGGAGGACAAAATGGTATGTTAATGTTGGTGGACAGTTAGTCATAATTCGTAACATTTTTGTCCTCCTTTTTTCACTGTATTTGTGTAGGTACCTTTTTTTTTAATTATTTTATTCTCACGATGGCCTGTGGCCGATAGGAGAAGAAGAATTACAGTCAGTGAGATCGGATAAAAAGAAATCCAAGTTTAGCTGCTTTCTGAAATAGTAGTGATGGTAATAAAGAGTTTATGACGTAGGCTGGGCACTATGATTTTATTGTATTTCAAGGATTACCCAAAGGCTCTAGGCCTGTCCAGGGATCTCCTACTCAGAAAATTTTCCCAATTCTTTCCGTGTCGCTAACCTATACGTACCCAGATTGCGCCAAGTTTACGGAAGTTCTTCCATACAGGGTCCCAGCCCAAGTTGATAAAGAAATTCGGATTGAAAGCCTTCGCCTCCAACACGATAGTCCTGCGACCATCCGCCTCGGCCAGGTCAGGCGAGTCTGGTCCAGGCTGCTCGGTGACCTCTGCATCACTTTCTGCACCCGACTCCGGCAGGTTTGGTGACGAAGATGGTAGAACTACGCCCTGAACAGCAGCAGTGTCAGTGTCATCATGGTCATCCATGGCTGGAATACTCAATGAAAATTTGTTCTGGATCTCTCTCGATCCTGTACGTATACGGTGTAGAGTCTGGTACGTGGGCCAGGTGAGAGAAGCTTTACAAAGCACAATACAATGACGAGTGGCACTGGCGTCTAAAATTTGTTATAGATGTGCTGAGCAGTGTGTGCAGGTACATACCTTCTCCCGTACATTGCCTCCTTCCGCGTCCTTGGTCTGCAATGCACCCTGTACTCGCCTTGTGTTCCCTGAAGTGCTACTGTGAGCACATTGCGTGTTTTGCCGAATCAGGAGCGTATGACCAAAGAATGTGAGAACAGTGGCGTCTCATCAGGAATGCACTGCTGTCACTACTCACACTCCGCACACTTGAACCATGACCAGGTGGCTGTGTAGGCGGTGTAGGCCGGTGTTGCTGGTACGAACTACGTATTTTGCAATGGGCTAACGACAACAGGATTACAAGAACGTGCAAAAAGCGGACGGAAATATGTTTTGTGTTGAACTGCAGGAAATGGTCCTTTTCAAAGAAAGTACGGATCATTGCAGATGCCACTCTTGCTCGGATTCCCAGCCGTCCTTATGATGAATTATCTCATCAGGTTTAACCCTTTCAGCTGCCTCATAACAAGTGTTGCTCCGTTAGGTAGTTTAGCAATGTAGATTGCTCATGTGGACTCATCCAGTGTGTGGATGGTCCAAACCCCGAAAGACACATCAATTTGCAGGCTGTGTCCGTTTCACATCACGACATGGCACGAAGTGTGTGGATTGTCCAAACACCGAAAGACACATCAATTTGCCGGCTGTGTCCGTTTCACATCACGACATGGCACGAAGTGTGTGGATTGTCCAAACACCGAAAGACACATCAATTTGCCGGCTGTGTCCGTTTCACATCACGACATGGCACGAAGTGTGTGGATTGTCCAAACACCGAAAGACACATCAATTTGCCGGCTGTGTCCGTTTCACATCACGACATGGCACAAAGTGTGTGGATTGTCCAAACCCCGAAAGACACATCAATCTGCAGGCTGTACTCATTTCACAAGTGGACATGGCACAAAAGAAGAGGGATTTCTCCTTGTCCAGCATCCTGGCTGATGTCTCCACGACATCATTGAAGACACCAAGCTTGCATAGTCTTGTCTTTACAAGCATCACCGATCACCATGCAGCTTGTTTCCAGAAGTTTGGCAAGTGTGTCAGCACTTCTACCACTGGCTGTACCCTCGTCATGACAACGGGGGATGAGACAATAGACTGTACGCGGGCTATCTTGGTGGATTGGCTATATTATTGTACCGGCGGTGATACTAACAGGATTGCAAGAACGTGCAAAAGGTGGCCGGAAAAATGTTCTGTGTTGAACTGCAGGAAATGGTCCTTTTCAAAGAAAGTACGGATCACTGCAGACTCCACTCTTGCTCGGATTCCCAGCCTTATGATGAATGATTAGATCGGGTTCAACTCTTGCAGCTGCCTCATAACCAATGTTGCTCCGACAGGTAGTTTAGCAAGGTATATTGCTACTGTGGACTCATCCAGTGTGGGGATGGTCCAAACCACGAAATACACATCAATCGGCAGGCTGTACTCGTTTCACGTCAGGATATGGCACAAAAGAAGAGGGATTTCCCCTTGGCCAGCATCCTGGCTGATGTCTCCACGACATCATTCACGACACCACGCTTGCATAGTCTTTTCTTTACAAACATCACCTATCACCATGCAGCTTGTTTCCAGAAGTTTGGCAAGTGTGTCAGCACTTCTACCACTGCCTGTACCCTCGTCATGACAATGGGGATGAGACAATAGACTGTCTGCGGGCTATCTTGGTGGATTGGCCATGTTTTTGTACCAGTGGGGATACTCGACACCACTCCTTTACTTCTTCCCTACCAAATTCGCTTTTGTGTTATTGGGCCCAGTTCCTGTTATTGTGCGAAGTTCAATAAACACAAACAACCGAAACAAACCAAACACTGTGTTCTCGCTACATAGTACAAGTGCCCTGACCTAGCTTGACTAACATCGCTCTTGTAATGTATCAACAGAGAGAGAGGGTAATTCAACAATCTCTCCTCCTCTTCTCCTCCGTGCGCTCTTCGCCAACGACTACCCTTTGTAGCCATTACACACACCAACAATTCAACGAAGGGATTACGAGTACCTCAAGCATTGTTACTGATAGCATTCCATCTGACAGCTGTTTCGCCTACTAAAGGCTCGTCAGAGAAGGCGATGCCGAATAGGATGTTGTAGTTGACATGGCAAATAGTTATACTGAAAAATAGCCCAATCACATGACAGCTAATGCGGGGAGGGAATATTTGAATGGTAAAAAGGAGGAGAAAAAAAAGAAGTATTTGAAGCTCAAAATTCGGCCATTCCCGTCATCTATCTAGCAAATCTCTAACCCAGACTTTGGGGGAACCCCGTAGACTTAGCAACCTGGGCAGAAAATGTTTGACGCATGCACAACAAACTGTTCGTTGTTGCCGATTTCTTGTCTCTCGTGCCAGCGAACATGAGGACGGGCAAACCTACTTCTTTGACACGACGACTGCAAAGTCGCAATGGGAGCACCCCATGGACGAGTACTACCGCGAGCGCGTGCTGGAGGAACGGGCCAGGATCCGCGCTGGCCACCCTCCCAGTCACAACAGCGGCGGCGGGTCCACGCCACGACGTCAGCTGTCGCCGCACCAGATGTCCCAGCTGTCGCCGCGGCCGCGGGGCGCGCTGGAGCTGTCGCCTCCGTCCGACGTCGGCAGCAGCATGGAGCTCTCCCCGGTCATGCAGCAGCAGCTGCAGATGCGACAGATGCAGCACATGCAACAACAGCAGCAGCAGCAGGCGATGCTAGCACAGCAGCAAGCCGCTGCAGCAGCCATGGCCGGCCGTGGAATGGCAGGCATTAGCCAGCAGAAGAAGCAGACAGCGGTGCAAGGCACGGCGGGGGTGAGTCCTACAGATTCGAATTGCAATTGTAACAAATGTGATTTTGATTCTCGGGGATACGGGGCTAGCAGAATTTGTGTAGCTAAAGCTTGCCCACTACACTGCTAATGCACTTCTAACGGCATACGTACATGAACGACAATACAAGCCCAGAACTTTAATCTTCTATTTTTTTGGTTCATCAGGTTTCTTTTGGTATCCTTGCACCCACCACCACACTCCATTCATCACCCCAGTGTTTGGCGATATGTGGATTTGTAGAGAAAAACGAACAAAAAACAAACGTTCACCTAGATGTTGAAGGTGACCAGCTTGTAAATGATCCAGGACATTCAGCATCTGTTTTCTGCCCTTTGTGTGCTCATAGCCATCCAAGCAACTTGCTCCACTGAAGGGTAAGACGGGAGGATCATCACTACTGCCCACGAGTAGCCTGCTGTCTGGCAGCTCATCCGGCAAGAAGGCACCACAGTCGTCCGTGCCAGCAGCCAAAGGTGAGTTGCTATAGCAGTATTACCATAGCGCTGTGTGTATACTACGATGTGTGTAACTACCGCTTCGAAAATGTATTAGGCGCACAACCTATGTTTATCAAGAGACCAGGTGAACAATTATGGACTGTGCACAAACAACATGAGCTGTACTGTTTTTACATCTGCCCAGTGCCTACATAACGACGGGAAATTTTCTAATCTTGAAAGCACTCGTTTTCTCCTGAAAATGTGCACATTGCTGAGACATCACTATGACACCACTATGATGTTACTATTACATTGCTATGACATCATTATGACATCGACATGACATCACCATGATGTCACTGTGACTTCACTGTGACACCACTATGGCATCATCGTGGCATTGTGCATGTGGTCTACTCTAGCAGGGGTAGCACAGAAGCAAGACCCTAAAAAGCCCGTGGCATTATCATCAGCAGCAACAGCAATGCCGAGCCAGGGGAAGCAGGTTGGCCAACAACAACAACAGGCAAAGAAGCCAGCCAAGAAGGATATTTCGCTTCTGACAGAGAGTGATGCAACCAGCGAGGTAAGGTAGTATCTGTGAGCTCCTCATCAGTACCAGTGAGACGAGGCAGTATCAGATTTTATGGGTCCTTCCATATCCACAGTTGTATACACATTACATCTATTTCAATGCTGAACCCGTTCAAACATGAGTCATTTGAAAGTGCTGCAATAATTGTAGGCTTTTCCTTCTCTTCTTATCACAGATTGGAGAATGTTTTACAGCAACCTATTGATGTTTGTATATCTTCTTTGTCTTTTCCCTGTCCATTTTATAGGAAAGCGATAGCGACATTGCGGCAAAGTTTGGTCTTCTAGATGACGGAGACCTATTGGTACGTTACACCGTCCATTCTACTCCGCATTAATGATCACTGTGCATGCTCAGAGCACGCACAGTGATCTACGTTCTAAAGTGAGATATTCCTTCAGTAGTTACCTTGGATCCGCAAAGAAGAAACTAACGTAGATCACTGTGCGTGCTCTAAGCATGCACGGTGATCATGAATGCTACGAGGAGACTCGAAGAACTCTGATTGGAGTTCGCCGACGCTCCTCCAATCTGTATTTCTATCCGAACGAGACTGTGTCCTTGCGTGTCTTCTAAACTTGGCAGTATTCAGACACATTGATGCCCTATCATTGTATGTGTGGTGCATGCCGCAGAAGTACTGCACTGCAATCCGCCGCCAATGCCCACACCCAACGCCGGTTTTTCAAGATCCTTCTTTCTGTTTACCACTCCTTTTTCACCTGGATTTCTATTGCAGTAATCTGTGGTTTGCGTATCGGGCACACAATCAGCAGCTGTTGGCTACTTCCGTGAACCACAGATTGAGTATGGGTGTTTCTTGAGGGTACTGGGACAATATGTCCAACTACCATTATTACCGTCAACTTGCCTTGCCTTCCTGCGGATGCGGAAAACTGGGCTTGGCCGAGTCTCACGCGAAACGTGAATTTTTTTGCCTTGCTGAAAAACATGAAACATGGATGCAGTGAATGGGATTTCGGTCTTTGACCACTTTGTGGTGGGTCTGATCTACTCACCTCCCACCGCTTAGGAGCTGCGTCTGCGCCTTAATCCTAGGGGGTGGTGGCGTTCCTGCGAATGTGGAAAACTCGGCTTCCAGCTGAGTCTCACGTCAACCTTGAAATTGTTTTTATGCCTTGCATTAATGTGATATGTTACTCCTGTTCAGGATGAAAGTAGCCCTGCAGACTCGCCACCGGCCAAGCGAGCCGCAGACAGTCGGCCCCAGAAGCCAAAGAGCAGTCCCCGTCCGGAGAGGAAAATCGGCCTGGCCGGACGATCTCCAAACTTGGTAAGGCCGGTGCGTCGAATGACACAGTATATCCTGTGTAAGTCGATCGGTCAACGGATTATTGTGCACATATGGCCTTCTTATCAATGGTAAAACGAATTGATTTCAGTCATTTGACACTTGATCCTTGGTTATAGTGATTGTCTGTAACAGGCAGTGACCTGATCAAAGTGATCTCCCTCACAGCTAGTTGCCTAAGCAAAGTGGTCCCGTTGACGGGTGGTCATATTAGCAGAGTGATCCAGTGCATCAGGTGATTGCCATAGCAGAATAATTGTCTTCTGCAACAGGTGTTTCCTCAGCAGAGTGCTCCTGTTGTGCATGTGGTTGCCCTGCCAGAGTAATGTGGCTACCTTAGCACCTTGGCCTCCTTTTCGGAGTTGTCCTCTTCTGGTGCAGACGGTTGCCTCATCAGTGTGATGTCCTCGGGGGCTGTTGCTGTTTATGGTGACTGGTGCCACTAGCTACCACATGGTCCGCTCAGAACTCCATTAGATTATCCTCATTGTCCCAGAGCAGTAGTTATGGCAATCTTTATGTGTATTATGTAAAGAAAAAAGGACCTAGAAGTTACTGGTTATCACTAACAGTCCACCAAGGTAACGAGATAATAATTATACAGTCAGATTTTATGTGTATTTATTGGTGTCTGCATGTGATGTTTGCAATGCAGTCCGACGCATCGGCATCTGACCTGGGTGCTACTCCGCAAGGCAGTCGCCAGGGCCGGAAGAGTCGCAGCCCACTTGCAACTCAGTCTGGTGCGGACATCAATGCCGTTTCGCCATTGCCTTTGCTCCTATCACCGCCAGGCCACAATCGAGCTTTGGTTACACCCACTACAGAGTAAGGGTCAGGAGCGTCGGAAGGTATTCGACATTGGTGCTGCCATGAATGGGCGGAGGGTGCGGGGGTCCTCCCCGGGAAAAGTTTAGGGAAATTGGGCCCAAAATATATTCCGTTGCTTCAAAAATCCCAAGATGAAATTGTTGGTGAAGCTTTGGCCGCACCGGTTCCGACGCCCAGGAGTGTTTTAATGAGAAAGGTTCCAGGCTGTCCGAAAGAGTGCTCAATGCCCGACGGGCAGAGCTGCTTACAACAAGTCAGTTGTTATGAATCATTCATCCTCTTCGAGGATGTTGTTACATATGCTGTTTTCTGTGTAATTATGTATTTCTTAACTCTCCAATTTGTGTGTATCAGTGGAACTGTGTATGAGTAGTGCGCGGGCTGAATGTGTGAACCACAACATTCTTCATATGGATCAATTGGGGAAATGTAATCCTACTTTCTGAAGACTGCTTCGGGGCCTCTGTAGGCCTGCCAAGCATGGTAAAATTCATTCTTGATTGAGTGGTGGTGGCGTTGCAAATACTGGCCTGAGTGAGCTTCCCAATGTGGAGCTGTGTGGTAATCTAGCCACCCTAATGCGGAGTTGAATTTCACTTACCGAGATTATTTACCGCCAGGCGAGTAGGGAAATATGGCTCCAAGTAGGGCCTGCACAGTGAGAATGAGGGAGAGGAGTGTGTGGGGGGGGGGGGGGGGGGCATAGCGGACATGCTTCAATATTCTCTTCTCAGTGTATTTGCGCATAGCCACACTTGAAAACAGCGCCAATAACGCACTCCTGCAGTCAACTTTGCGAATTACGGCACTCGGCGGGGCATCAGAAAAGTGTCCTTACTCACGAAGTGTCCTTATACCCGAAGTCTCATCATATGTATGCCGGTAGATGGGACTTTGCTCTGGGCATGCAAATCATGTCGTTATTCGCGGATTGTCGTTATATCCGCAGTCGTTATTAGCGAAGTTGACTGTATTGCCGATAGCACCACAGTAGCTATTTCTAGTCTGGTTCCCCTGACACGTTTGCTTCACTTCCCGTGCTCTGTGCATGCACAGGGAGCTTGCCAACGTTGAGTACATGTCCAGCGAAGGAGATCCGGACAGACATGATGACGACGAAGAGATATCTCTGCCTATCCGTGACGGTGTGGAGTCGGATGATGTCATAATGGATGGGATCGGTGTTGATGGTGATAGTGACGACTCTGATATGATGCGTGCTCCTGGCCAACCCCATCGCCGAGCTGACCGGCCAATCTCTGCCATTGGAGCACGACAGGCAATGTAAGATTAAATGCGAGTGTGGGCATTTGCTCTAAGCCAAAATGAAACTTTCTATGACTGTGTTCTTTTCGTTAGTCTTAGAGCTTTCTTGATCTTAACTTGTAGAACCCATTACATTCCTCGTTGCACCACCTCTGCTCTAATCATGGCCAGCAATCGAGGACATCCGAGAGTTGTAATTTTTGTACTCCTCCGAGGTGTGATTTTTGGCGTGCTGGGCCAAGAACAAGGAAGCCACCTGTCAAAAAATGAAGAAAACGGTTGTTGTTTGATCCTTTGGTGTTATCTTTGTAGCTAGTCGAAGCAAGTTGCTGTTTGGAGCAGAAACGCTGAAATTGACTATTTTCTGCATGTACTCATGTACTCAGGCATGCAGTCTCACTCGTATTTTAGCTCTTTTTCTGGAATGGATGCTGCTCTGCGCCCCTTGGTGAACATTTCCTGCGCTCGTGGAGCAGCTGAAAAGGTCCACTGGTATGTCTGGTTTCTGGTTTGAAAGTGGAGTCGATTTTTGTGCCTTGAAAAAGGAGTAGAGAGTGATAAAGGTACGTCTGTAGCTTATTTTGAGTGCTCCTCGTACATTTTTGATCGTGATAGAAATTCTCAGACCAAAGTCAGCGCGAAGATGGCCGTACAGTTTTCTTGTGGACTTTTTAGTTGTTTCATCTCGTATCTATGTCAGTATCGTGATGGTGAAGTGGAGAGGGTGATTTTCTTCCTCTGGGCTTCGTTCGGCCGACTTTCCTTCGTCCCCGTTGAAAAGTGATGCTGAAAAAAGATCGATTCGCAAAATTATGTTGATTGTGAATGTAGGGGATGACATGCGATTGCTGGCTATGATTGTGACGTTTTCATTCCATTGGCAAGTATGAACAGAGGAGCTGTGTTTTAACAAATATTACACCTTTAGCAACAGACATTACATTCAGCATATCACATATAACTAGCTCTTCAAGTTCATGTAAACCCCTACACACCGTCCTCAAGGAGCTTGTGGGCCTTTAGAATTGTTTTCCAGCTCACTTTGGTCTATTAGCAGGCCCACCATTTTATTGAATCAAGTTTTGATTTGTGTTTGGTATCAGGAATTCCAGCTATGCAGAAACGGAGGTTGAATTGAATATGGTGCCGAGGCGTTTTCTTCACAGCGATTGCGCTTGTCTTGATCTTCATGTCTTTCATGCTTCAGGCTTGATCGCACTGCATCATTGGAGCACCCTCAGCCCGGTCACCCGCAGCGCATGCCCACCTCCGGTTCTGTCGGCTCGGCATCTGCCGCCAGGCCTCGCCAGACCGGCACGGCACAGCATGCCACCAGTCATCATGGTAGCACGCTATCGCCGTTGGCAGTCTCACAGACGGCAGCCGAACAGACGCAGGTAGGAATGGATGGCATGATGCTAACCTACCACTTAGTGTGTGTGTGTGTGTGTGTGCGTGTGTGCGTGCGTGCGTGCGCGTGCGTGCGCGTGCGTGCATGCGTGCGTGTGTGCGCGTGTGCGTGTGTGTGTGTGTGTGTGTGTGTGTGTGTGTGTGTGTGTGTGTGTGTGTGTGTGTTGGTTATACTGCTTGTGGGCATTGCATACCTGCCACCCTACGCAAACCTATGCCCCACCATCACTGCTGCGTGTCGGTGCAGCGTCTGCTCATTCTTTGTCACATTTGTCCTAGTCTCTTGTCATTCATTATTCTTTTCGAGCTAGGTATGTGAACATAGTAAAAAATATTAAAATCAAACTAAAATAACCTGTGATCAGGACAACGACATACCTAGGCATGAAAATCTATACAAATGTAGTTGTGAAGCATGCAACAAATGCACTTTTGGGTGTCTATTACCACCCTCAATACCGGGACGGTCCCGGCCGAATCGGGATGGTTGCTAGGTACGGCATTGGCCTTCCTGGGGCCTCGTTGGGGTGATTCTCAAATTATTATTGCTGAGACTTTCCCTGCACTTGAAAAGACTGCCAAGTATTTTATCACAATGAAGGCTGAAAGGCAAGTATTCGTAGACGGGATATACTTGCCAGGAGGGCGGATAGACAGAGATGTAGGGAGAAACGATGTGTCTTTATCTGTGTGTGTGTGTGTGTGTGTGTGTGTGTGTGTGTGTGTGTGCGCACGCGTGCGTGCGTGTGCGTGTGCGTGTAAGAGAATGGCAGATGCGCTAGAATTGATGCTTTGTCGTGTGCAGTATGCAAGCGTTATTCGGGATATAGAGAGTCTTGAATATCCCTGAAGGACCCGCGCTTCCTCTGCACGTATTCTCGTCCTGCCTGTGCACGTGTGCATTTGTACATGTGTGCATGCGTGCATACATGACTGTGTAGCACTTTGGGGGGCGTCGCACACGGTACGGTCACTACGGCATTGACCGTACCACTATTTGCCCCAGGTACCCCGTGAATCAATAAATTGCACCGATTTGGGCTCTAAATTTCCAAAAGTTTCGGCTCAGCCATCCCTGCCCCACGAGTGAATTGTACTTCAGATGGCTGACCGTAGCACACAATAATACCTTCCGACGCCCCTGCACTTGCAAAATGTAATGATCCGTTTGTTCCTGATCCATTCAAGCTCTTGATCACCACCACCATGCCGCTGTGTCCATCTGCTCACTGTCGCTGCACAGCTTCACGAGAACCAGATAGCCAGCATGTTTGCTCAGCACCGCAAGGAGTTGGATGTAGTTCGCCGGCGCCTGGCCGAAGAACTGGAGGATGAGCTAGACAAGTTTGAGCAGGAGCGGAATGAGAAGTGCAACCAGAAGGGCCAGGAGATGGCCAGGTAAAAGTTTAGTAAAACACATTCACGGTTCGCTTGAGACTCATTTAGATTTAGTTTTCCGCATCCGCAGGAACGCCACCACCCTGCTTGGTAACGTGCGCAGTATGTATCCACTGCAACAAGAGTTTCTTGCAATTATCTTGTTTACCAACTTGACGAGACAAATGAACAAGGCACAGCAAAAGCATGTCAGGTGAAGAAAGAGAATTGGCTTGCTTCTTTTGGACGATATTTCCTCGCCGGAAAGCAGATTTCAGCCGTCTCTAGCTCTGTGATTCCATTCCTGGTCATTATGGTACTCTGTTGACGAATATCATCCAAGCAGAGTAGTTTCATACTTTGGTCATGTGACTAAATCTATGTAGAAAGTGTACATGGCTTGCGGACAGTGGACAGTGGAACCAACATGGCCGACATCATGTGGCCCTTGGATTTGAGTTGTGTTGAAACCAGCATGGCTGTCACTTATGGTCATTTGATGTAAAACCAACCTATCTGCTGCTGTGGATCAGGATGATTGCTAGATGCAACGGTGTACCAGACCAGACCACTTCACATGTACATGGTTACACACACTGACACACCTCCATTTCTTGGTTCTTCTTGCTACTATGGCGCAGGGAGATGGCACAGATGCAGCAGGATATGCAGAGGAAGAATGCCAAGCAAATCGAAGACCTGAAAAGCAGCCTCGCCAAAGAGCTGGAGAAGGAAGAGCGAGCGAAGGCCGACGCTTTGGCCAAGGTGAGAATTACCTGTGCTGTTGGGATGGTTTAGAAATGTTCAGCATGTGTGTCGGTAACCGTCTGGTGTAGTACAAGACGCCTTGACATCACTAGCTTGCTGCAGGCGAGAAACGGTGAGTTTTATTGTGAGGAAAATCTAACTTATCGAGTGCCAATCTAATAGGAGTCATCTGCATGTCCTGCTAGAGATGCAGCGCATGAATCATGGATCCCCATAGGGTGGCAGGTATCCTCATTCGCTTCATTCAGGCGTTAAATTTGGCATTCACGCTTCAATACTGAAACCAGGGTATGAAACGAATCTTATCACACTATATTTGAGAGTGTGTGTATTTGAGAGGGTGAATTTTGCCAGACTGAGGTGTGAACTGTGCACGCGAAATAATGTATGTGCCAAAGTTTTCACTGTGTTGACCTTGTACTGTGGTCCACATTCAACAGTTCCATGGCAGTCATAGGTGTACTCATAGTTCTAGTTCTTGTTTCACAAAGAACCTGCTATATGTATGTACCTGACACCAGTCACGCTGCAGTTGGTGGCAATCTTTCACTGTTCTGACCGCCTAGAACGCAGGATAAAAGACTTTAGTTTGCTCTTTCGCTTGTATCACCATTGTACTGGTTTAGTTTGAACAGTGCTGCTTGTAGACTTCATCTAATGGCGTCTCGCTATGTGAACGTTAAGTTTATCTTGTTCCTAAGCTCGTTCTGAAAGTCAAACCAGGTCTTTCCTACCAGTAGAAAGCAGTCCTTTGTTTGTGCTCTCTCATGTTATGATGCAACAGCAAGTCGTCTGGCCTTCGGTCCAGAAATATCTGTGTTCCGCATGCGGTTGTAAGATGGCCCCGGCAGATGGGAACTTAATTTTGTGAGCGTTCATATTGCAGCACAAACCCTATGTGCAGTCAGGTATCATTCAAACACACACACATGTTTTGGTCAATATCAAAAGAAACAGCCGTACTGCCAGTGGAAGAAGTTGACAGAAACGTCTTTTCAAGTTTGATACTCATGGTCTTCACTTTCCCTCTAGCATCGTGACGAGATGGAACGCCTGAAGAGCAAGCACAAGACGGAGCTGGACGAGGCCCGGGAGAAGGCCACAGCAGAGCTGGCGGCCGAGAAGGAAAAGATCCAGGCCGACCTGCAGGAGTCGATTGAGCAAGTAAGATGCCACCTACACTGAGCTCAGTAATGAGGGTGCTGGGCTTGAGGCCATGAAGCCCAGGTGTGTTTCTTATAGGTGAACTCGGTTGAATGACGGTGTGCATGCTGTCAATGACTTGGTGTAGTTTCAAATGCACAATAAAACATGTCTTTACCGGACCGTGCACCAAGCGGAGTCCTGTGTTGACAGGAAAAAATATCATGCACCAAAGTGCTGTGGATCTGGATCAAGCGAAATCCTGTCACATCACAGTTCCGCTGCACCAAGGGCATCTGTTTTGGACAGGTCTTACTGTATTTCGTCTTAAAATTCATGTGCTCTTCAGTGAAATCCTATCTCAAGAACTTGTTAGTGTGGTGCGCCAGTACTGGTACAGAGCTCCAGTGTTTTGGAGTTTTTGTTTATTTGAAGTTCTATTTTACATTGCAGACCAAACAGGCATTGATGCCCAATATTATGATGGCGATAGAATATTTCATGAAGAGTGGCTCGTTAAAGCAAGAGTCTGGTGCTACACAGCAAGGGGCCTGGCACAGACTCAGTCTATCGGATTTGAGTGTAGAAGGCAAGATCACACATGCCAAGGCTGCTGCCAGTGTCGCTATCGTACATTGACTTATCCCTTCATTCTCCTAATGTGACTTATAGCTGACAAGAGAAGCAACTGTGAATTCAAAATCCCAGCTGGATGCGCTCCGGATGACGCTGGAAGCCGAACACCAACAGGTAAGCAATCGTCTTGTGTTTACACACGCCATCCCCAGTCATTGCTAGACACTAGAATACAGATTGTGTGATCACATCATCACTTGAGATGCGCTGTGTGGAGTGGCAAAGCCGCAATGCGCTAGTTCAAATGAAAACACTGCCTTACTCTGTTCACCTGCCTCGCGTAAGCGAATACGCATACGCCGACTCCCGCTACCGTTCTTCTGTATATGGTGGAAACACCAACAATGCATGCCGCAAAAGGTTCAAAGTCAGCGCTTTCTTTGATCAAATATATGGACGGTAAATAACAGGTGCAGTTGGGGTGGGGGAGCAGTGGAGCCCTGTTTTTCTTCTCAGCTAACTGTGCCAGTTTTGCTTTGTGGACAACAGGAGGAAGCCAAACTGCTACGTGACCTCGAGGCTGCAAGGGCAGAGAATGTCGGAGCGACAAAGGCAGAGATCGAAGAGGCAAAGAAGAAACATGGAACATCACTGCAGGACCTTACCCAAGAGGTATGAAGTGTGATGACGGATTATATATTTTATGATAGTTTACACAAGAGAGAGATTGGAAGTTTTGTTACAACTCTGAGTTTCACGTATTACTACGATCAAATACGCGAGTTGTAACAAAGCTTCCAATCGCTCTCGCTCTCTTATGCACAAGGCTCTGCCCTGCATGGGTATTGAGCACTCTTCGGACAGTGAAGCAAACCACTTGACTATGATAGTTTACACATATCATGATACAAAATTTGTCCCCTAGCAATCGTGTTCCTGGATACAGCGAATGGCTTTTGACCACATTGTGGTGGGTCTGATCTGCTTACCTCCCACCGCTTCAAGAATGCGCTTGTTGCCATGGTCACGCTGCCAAATAGTGCAGTCACTAAGACTGATTTGCCACACAGGATGGCATGATGACATCAGAGCTAACATGCGTGCTGTCTTCTTCTCCCTATTTTCCTTGCCATGCGCATGCAGTTTGCCCAGGAGCGGGAGCAGAAGAAGAAAGAGCTGGCCGAAGAAAACAGAAAGGAGCTGGTAAGCAGCCGTTTCTGTTCAGTAGCTGACGATGACTCTGCTGGAACTTGCTAGCTCTTATGTGAACCTTCACGAAGTACAGTCAACTTCGCTAATAACGACCGCGGATATAACGACAATTCGCGAATAACGACAGAATTTCTATGCCCAGAGCAAAGTCCTATCCAACTGTAATACATAATAATGAGACTTCGGGTATAACGACACTTCGCGAATAAGGACACTTTTTTGATGTCCCGCCGAGTGTCGTTATACGCGAAGTTGACTGTAATGCAGTGTTGCCGAGTAGCCAATGTGATGCATGAGTGTGTAGACCAAGGAAAAGTGTAGACTCCTTATGCCCCATCACTATAATACTCATAATTTCTATTTTATTAGGGGAAGTCCCAGCCTTTCGAGTAGGATCCCTAGGTGTAGTTTGGTCATAGCCATGAACACAGTGAGAGCCTGTCGGGCTTGATTACAATCAGCTCGAAGGGCATTCCATCGATGGGGCTATCAGAAATAATTAATGTAATGGAGTGATGTACATTGTCTTGTTATGTTTAAACTTATCAGGAGGATCTGCAGCAAACTCACAGCGCAAAGATGCAAGCCATCAAGCAAGAATATATAGACAAGGTGGGTAGAATGATAGCCAACACATGCCGAGCATTGCAAGCAATGTGTGCGCCAATCTTTTTTTTTCTCAAAGTAACAATACTGTGCAGATGGGAAAAGTTAGGCAACGCCGCTTCAGTAAACCTACCAGTGACATGTTGAAACTGGCACTCCTATTCGCGTAGCTTGCCAATCAATTAAGCCCTTGGCAAGCGTTGACAACGGCTTCATTCCTGTGAAGGTATTCGATATTAATAAGACTTAGAGGTTTGCAGCCCGATTAGACCAGACTGTTGTGCGCCTTAGCTGACTGGTGTAGTGTAGGTGACTGGCTGCAGTGCGGTCTGGGAGATGTTTGAAAGGACTTGTCTGATGATTGGTTCAGCCAAGAAGCTCTGAGTCACAACGGAATTTTCCAAGGTTTTCCTTGTGTGCCCTTGTGTTTGAAAGGACTTGAATGGGCACGACTCTATTCATGGTGTTATGTGCAATGTTGCGTAACGTTGTGCTGTGGCTGCACTCCTGATGTTGTTGCTATTACTACTGCTGTGGTGTGTTCATTCTGCTGGTCAGGAGGAGCTGGAGCAGAAACGTCACAAAGTTGAGCTCGACAAGACCGTAGCTAAACTGGAGCAGGTAAGCAGTGACTGCTATGATCCTTCTTTGCCTTGTCCGTTTTGCAGTGCCTGGGTTGTCTTAACGGCTGAGGGGAAGATAAGTTGCAGCGCTACACTCAGGCAGAGAATTTGAATTGACAGAGACAAATGTACGAACTGACCGCCCCCCTCCTTCAGCTTATCATGTTGGCAAACTTTTCAGAGTGTCAGACACTGTAAATGTGCCATCACCATGATACCCCTTTTCACGTGGGACAGGCCTCTTTTATAGGCAAAATAAACACAATGAAAGGCTTTTTTCCCGACAGAAAGACAGTGATAAAGGACCATAAAACTGGTAAAATGTAATTAGAACTGAAACCCCTTACCCCCTTTTCACCAATGCTACCCCATGAAGTACGGTTTGAATAGATTTCAGAGAGGCGGAAGTTTTTTTTTTTTTTTTTTGGAGCACACTGCAACAAAGGGCTATGATCGCAGCTCAGCGCAAACGTGGCAAATCCTTGTCCCCGATCTTGGTTTATTGCAGAATCAAAAAGTCTTTCATTGCCGTTCCATGTACAATGTACACTGAAATGGCACCAAATGCCTGAAAATGCTTGCAATTGGCTACAATTTTGAAATTTTTTCCCAGGGGAGAATAGTGAGGAACCCTTGTCCTCGATCATAGCGTCTTCTTGGTTTGTTGCAGAATCAAAAAAAACTTTAATTTTAGTTACACTGAAATGGCACTAAATGCCCGGAAATGCTTGCAATTGGCTTCAATTTTTGAATTTTTTCCGGGGGAGGGCCTTCCATGGCCGCCCCACCTCCAAAGTCGGTGCGACGGGCCTGAGTAGTTCCGTGTATTTTTACTGCTCCTGACAGGACAAAGCAAGCGCAATCGACAGGGTCAACACGGAGCACGACAAGGCAATAGCAGATCTGGCAGAACAACTCGAACTCCAGGTATGGCACTCACGACTGGCCCTTGCCGATGTTGGCTGAGTTTAGACTTAAACTGCTTCCCTGTGTGGACTTATTGCCATAGTCATGAAATGACAGTAGTGGCTGGCTGGCTGGGTTGGTTGGAAAGATTCCTCATGGTGATCAAGGTTGTTGTGTTCCTTTTCTGGGTGCATAGCTGTGCGCATACGTACTCTATTCATCGCCCATTTGACTCTCTATCTCTGCCACCCTCTCTCCCTCTCTCGCTTTCCTTCTATCAATCTGTCTGTCTGTCTGTCTGTCTGTCTGTCTGTCTGTCTGTCTGTCTGTCTGTCTGTCTCTGTCTGACTATATATCTGTCTATCTATCTGTCTATCATATCCCTGATGAGCATTTCGCGACCGAGTCCACAAAGAACGAACCAGTTCTGTCCGCAGGTTGAGTATCTGTCTATCATGCATCTTTCTCTATCAACCTTACTACCTGCTTGTAGAAAGCGACCCTCCAAGCCAAGCTCCAAGAGCATACAAAGGAGAAGGCTGACTTAGAAACGAAGCAAGCCGAGCTAGCACAAGCTAAACGTGGCCATGAAGTGGAGGTAAGATAGTCTGTGTCGTTGATGATTAGTTAACCGATTACAGACCCTAGCACCGTTGGGCTAATGAACACAAGGAGAGGTGGGACTTTTGCACACAAGTCAATTTCGTATCGCAATCCTAGATTGGCTAGTGTACCCCTTAAGGAGACCATAGGTCTGTGGGGACTGCCCTAGAGAAATATGAATAAATACTATTTTATACTACTGCACAAGAAAGGGATGGATCTGAACCAGGAAGTTGAAAAGTACTCATTTTACTACTACCTCCGACAAGCGAAACTTGGCGCGTTTTTTTAATTTTTTTGTGTTGGTAACAAAACTACTTCACAAGGCTGTGCGGTACGACCGGCCATGCAACCGGGTGCAGGAAGCCAAGCGACGAGCTGGTGAGTGGCACATGGCTCAGACTCAGTCAGAGGCAAGCGTGTCTCTCATGTACCAGCAAAACTGTGCGCGCGTCCATTCTGCGAAGGAGAATTGTCGTGCTTTCGCGTTGCAATGCAAAACCAAGGAGTTCTCTCTCTCTCTCCTCTTGGTCACTCCGCCAGCACAGAGTCTATGCGTCCATGCCAAACAATACTAGCGTCTTTCAACAGCCACCAGAGCGATGCGTCTCTGGTGGCTAAGGAAAATCGCCAGGAATTGCTGCAGGCAATTTTGGACAGTTGGCGAGAATACCCTGCAAAACAGTTGGAGTCCAGGCGCTTGTGGAGGTGTTGCACAGTTCTTACCACGTCAATCTGGATAGTGGCGGCGGAAACGACTACCCTCGACACCGTGGCTCGAGCACAGCACACAGGAGCGACATCGAAATTTTCAGAGCGATTACAACAGAGGTACTTGCTGCAACTGAATCCGCTCTAGTCGCACCTTCGTCTCAAAACAGGGACAATTCCTCTCCAGAAGAAACTGCGATCTCTGAATCAGAGGACAGTTGTTCAGCCTAACAGATGCCGCTAATGTCCTTGTTGAGCAATACAAAGTTGAATTTTGGTGAGTCAATCATTAGTTTTGATTGTAAAGTGTGAGTTATTTCGAGTAATTTGAAGTAAAAAAACGCGCCAAGTTCCGCTTGTCGGAGGTAGTACCCATATGTGTGTGTGTGTGCACGTAGGCGCGTTTGTGCATGCATGTCTGTGTTTGGTTTTTGTGGGTGTGCGCCCATGCGCATTTGTGAATGTGTGTGTTCTGGGGGAGGGGGGGGGGGGTCTTATGTTGGTGGAGGGGGCGTATACTTCGTATGTTCTGGCTTAAAAGTTACGTGGCACCTGTCTCATTCCTTCCGTTCAGCTGGAAAGACTTCAAACCGATCTGGCACAGCTGAAGAAGCAGAGGGCTGAATTCGAAGAGGACAAGGCAAAGCTCCTGTCGTCAAAGGTTTGTCGCCTAGGCAGGACTATCCAATCCATAATCATAATAAAGATAGGGTGGCATGTGCTCTAGTAGTATATTGACTCCTGTGAGGTAATTGGCATGGACTCATCACTTACATCATCATTCTCATGACTCAACACTTACATCATCATTCTCATGACTCATCACTTACATCATCATTCTCATGACTCATCAATTACATCATCATTCTCATGACTCATCACTAACATTATGATTCTCATGACTCATCAGTTAAATCATCTTCTTTGTTTTCTTGTCTTTCTGCTTCTGGCTTGTGGACAGGAAGAGGCAGAAAAGCAATTGGCGGCAAAACATTCGAAGGTGCACGGTGAAATCACAGAACTTCAGGCAAAGCGTGATGCGCTGGTGCAAGAAATCAAGAACTTGAAAAGGTAAAGTGGAATCTGTTTGGCTGTGCAGGCATGTTCATGTGTGTGTGTGTGTGTGTGTGTGTGTGTGTGTGTGTGTGTGTGTGTGTGTGTTTGTGTGTGTGTGTGTGTGTGTGTGTGTGTGTGTGTGTGTGTGTGTGTGTGTGCGCGTCGACTCCGCTGGTTAGGCCATGTTGCTCGAATGGATGACTCCCGTATGCCAAAGTGTATCCTCTTCGGCGAACTGGACAAGACCCGGCCACGTCATGAGCCCCGGAAGCGGTGGCGGGACAATGTTGTGTCCGACATGAAGGACCGCCAGATAGCGGACTGGTACGACCTCGCCCAGGATCGCAGAGAATGGAGATCAGCATGCAGCACCATTCCTCCGACCGAGCCCGTCACCTTAGACTTCGTTTGCACTTGTGGAAAGCGCTATCGCCGTCGCCAGGATTTGACTCGCCACGCCCGATTCTGCTCGTGACTTGAACACTGTTGGTCCCTTCGGGACCTGCTATCATCTCCGGATGGGCATATTGTATTGTATTGTATTGTATTGTATTGTGTGTGTGTGTGTGTGTGTGTGTGTGTGTGTGTGTGTGTGTGTGTGTGTGCGTGCGTGTGCGAGTGTGTCTCTGTCTCCGTCTGTGTGTCTGTGCACGTGAGTGCGCGAGCGTGTATGTGTGTGCGTGGTACATGTACTTATTTCCACTAGTACCTGGACGGATTTGAACGTATATATGGGGTTGAATGTGTGTGTGTGTGTGCCTGTGTGTGTCTGTGTGTGTGCGTGCCAGCTAGTTTGGTTGGTGGACACACTTATGTCAGATAGTATTTGGTCTGTTGCTAACAGGCTCGGCTGCTTGAAGGTGCAATGTTGTTCCTGCCACCTCTGTCAGGCCGTATGCTTTCTATGTGAAGTATAATTTTACATACATGTTGACCGATGGACTACTTCTGACTAGAGTAGCTCTTGTGTAATCATTGGTGCTAGTGAAGCCTTTATCAGATCCACTCTGATATAGCCACGCACACTAGTAGCAAGTACTACCTTCACTGGGGGCAGGGGTGAATGCACTTGGATCCCGGGAAGGATACATTGATGCCGTCAATGCATTTTCTGCACCTTGTCCTCGCCCACTTACTGAGGTGTGGTGAGACCATAAGTGAGATCATCTCCAAGTCTACCCAGAGTTGGGAGATTTCAGGGGGTGTCGGCCGTTGGGCGGTTCAATAGCCAATTGAGTCATCTTTCCAAGATTCCTTTTGGATCTCTCTACCCTCTTCGAGGGAGACTTGCGTGACGAGCCATGGCAGTGAGCCAATACAAGTACAAATGTGTGTATGCATTTGTGTGGGTGTGTGCATGCGTGCGTGTGCGTGCGTGCATGTGTATTTTTATGCAATTTAGCCAACATGAAACCTTAGGCAAAGAGGCGACTCAGCTTCAAGAGCAATTGCGGGCGCTGAGAGTGGAGATGGAGCAGCTCAGAGCAGCAACGGGGGCTGAAAAGGAGAACATGGATCGGTTGAAGGATGAACACAGCGTCACACTCAGCTTTAGAGCTGCTGGACTCAAGGTAACAGATACATATAGAGACAACAGCAAGATTAAAAGAAACTAGTATTGCTTCACCCAGAGGGAGGGGTGAGCCCGAGAAACCTTGGCGAGATGGGTGAGTTTGTAGCGAAAAGACTACATTACCATTAATCATGAGGTTTCTGACTGTTGGCCGCAATGGAGTTTGTGAATCCTTAGAAATACTATAATTAAAGCAACGAATAAAAATGACATTTGCACAATATACCAGCTCGTGCGCTGCGTATTAAACTGCACGTCGTAGTTCCATGACAGGAAGAAGTATTGTGAGCGAAGTTTGGAATAAAAATATGTGGATGAGTAGAATGGAGAAAGCTTGCAGACAGGAACCACTAGAGCATGGCGCGCTCTTCTGTACTTTTACATAGGCTCAAAATAATCACTATGGCAAAGAAGTGGGAAATACGAAATAGTGAGTAAATGTTTGAAAAAAGAGTAAATTATCATGTCTGTTGCTGAAGGGAACTCGTGACGGCCGCTAACACCCGGTAAGTACAGTGCAGTATAAACATCTTAGCTACAGTGCGACTGTTGCATTTGGTTTCCAAGAACGTTCTTGACCGCCAGTAGTGTACCTACAGTTACCATTCATGCATATGCGTGTGCGTCCGTGTTTGTGTATACACCAGGGACCATTCATGCATATGCGTGTGCGTCCGTGTTTGTGTATACACCAGGGACCATTCATGCATATGCGTGTGCGTCCGTGTTTGTGTATACACCAGGGAATGTATGTGCACTTTCTGCCTGCATTCCCCGGACGAGAAGGCGACGAAAGAACTCGCGGAAATAGTGGGAAATGTTACTGTTGGAAAGCCTGAAGTTAGTTCTGCTCTTTTGTCTTAATGTGTGTGTGTGTGTATGTGTGTGTATGTCTGTCTGTCTGTCTGCCTGACTGCCTGTCTGTCTGTCTGTCTGTCAATGTGTGCGTCCTTCCAACCTGTCTAGGATCTTGCCGAGCAGGAAGCAGAGGCAAGAAAGCGCCTGGACTTGATCAAGTCTGAAGAACAAGTGCTACGACAGGCACAATCCACACTGCCAGATTCACAAGCCGGACACAGGCTACCTGAAGAGCATTCACGGCCCGGCAAACTCGCCAGCGCAAGCAGAACAAATTCGCTGGCTTTGTCCTCAGAATCATCTGTATCGATTGCATCGCCAGTTCCGCAAACCAGACCCCAGCCATCTGAGAACCTCACCGATACATCAGCCGTCCGATTGCATCATGCAGCTGAGGCTGCCGTAGCAACAACTACGCAGGGGGAACGCAAGAAAGACTCACAGGTGCCCACTCAAGAAGCTGCTAAGCCGACAAGAGCATCGACTCGAGCATCGACTCGAGCATCCAAAGGCGAAACATCTGACTTGAGCAATGACGTCAAGGTCAGTGTTGATTCCACGCATCTTTTTGTGTGTAGTTAATTCATGGTTTAGGAGCCGCATCTGACGCCTGATCATGGGATGGTGGCGTCCCACGGAAGCGGAAAGGTGGTTCTTGACCAGGGAGTTGTACGACTCCTTGTTCCGGACCTGCCCGGTACGTGAACCCGTTGAATTTTTTATTTTTTATTTTTTTTATTCATGGTTGTAGGATAGTTGAGCCCAGACAAGGCAACAAAGACAAGTAAGATGGCTAAGCTCAGCAGGACATTTTGGCGAAATTCAGCACGACGTTTTGGCGAAATTCACGACGTTTGGCAAACTTCGCACAACGGTTTGGCGAAATCACAGGCTTCCTACCTGACATGGGAGTAACGTGTCTTTATCTCCTCCGTATCGATTTCTAGTGTGGGACAGCTCCTCCAGCTTTACCCTGTCCCAGTGCATAGCCATGGTCAGAATAATTGTAAATGACCGATCCAAGACCTGTTGTAAATGGTATTGTAAATCTCGAAAAGTCAATTTGCCTAAATCTGTTTACTGACGTCTCACTCTGTCTCCACCTTTTCTCTTCCTTGTATCTTTTCTGTTTTCATAGCAACTGCAAGAGCAAATGAGCATACTGGTTGAGCGATTCCAGGAGATGCAGCCCAGGTCTGCCAACGATGGGGAAGCGCCTGCAGGTAGTGGCAAGACCAGGTCACACAAGGCTGAGCCGGATCGTAGCAGCGACAGAGATAGGCTAACGCAAGACTCTCGGAGCCGAGAATCTGAGCGTCAACAGGCCGGGGAACACGAGCAGAAACGCGACAAATCGAATCAACACGGCAGCTCCCTACACCGAGATTCCCATCGCCATGGTTCGGAACGCGATCATTCACGAGACCGCCACTCCACACACCGTCGTAGCAGTAGCTGCAGCAGGAATGCTGGTCATGAACGCCACCGTCACACAGCAGCTCTTTCTGACGACAGTGACGATTGTCCCCGTCACTCCAGCAAGCCCCAGTGCAAGTGTCACCGAGGGAAGAAGACGAAGAGCAAAGACAGCCATCGCTCGTCACAGGGTCACCACGGCAGTCGTGTAGACTCAGACAGCTCTCTACACAGTGAAGCCCTGCGCACACCCAAGGTACGACCTTAATCTAGACCATGAGCATCTACCCGCCCGAGAGTGTCCAACTCAGCATGGATTTTTGTGAGTACCCGTGGTCTTGGGCTCCAATCTGGTTAAAATTGAGGAGCAAAAGGACAGTGAGACCTAGTGAACTCGGCCCACCTGAGGTCTTGGCTTTATACCGAACTAGATGCACTGATGTCAGGAAAAAATAGAGGAAAGGGGATTTCTATGGGGTTCCCGACAGCTCATTGAACCGTCGTTGTATGTTTCACAAAATGTATTTTTAACGCGTGATGTTATCTTTCACCATCAGGGACCCCGTATACGGAGTTGCACGCTCCTGAGAGTTCTGACACTCTCGATTACACTGATCTATCTCCAGTTCAGGAGTTATAGGCTGTTAATCCCCCCCCCCCTCCCATTTACCATCGATGATGTATGCAGGGGGGGGGGGGGGGAGGAAAGGATTCAACGTTTTCCTTTGGACCTCATCTTGTGTTCTGCAGCAGTCTAAACGAGAGTCGGAATTGCGCCACAGCTCACGGAGGCGTGCGTGGGATGACACCCAGACCTCAGGTTAGTCTTTGGATTCTGCTAGAATGCATTGTACTGGTATACAGACCGCAGCAGGGCCATGAAATTGCTGTGTGTATTTAAACAAATGTGTATCAGGTTAGTTTGTTGCCCACCCTCAGTCCAATCGTCTGATGGCAACAGAAGTTCAGTCAAACCTGTCTAAGACGACCGCTCAAGAGACCTTCAAAACCTGGTCTCTGTTACCGGGTGGTCTCCTGATCCAGGCTCATTTGACTGGAAATAGCATCCCTTGGTCCTGGTTGCAGTGGTCTTCTAGGACAGGTGGTCGCCTTATTCGAGTGGTCGCCTTGGCAGGTTTTACTGGATTCAGGGATCGATTTACTTTGATTTTTTGCATAGCAGTCACTGCTACACAGTTTTACAATTGACTAGCAACTCCCAGTATTGATTAGCAGTTTTCCTTCATCAAAAGTTTACATGTATAGCTGTACAATAGCAGGATTTCGTACAGAAGAGGACAATAGCTGCAGTTGCTATTTGCTTTTCCAAGCGAATGTTCGACCTGAATATTTACGTTAGAGTTTTCGCTTGGGCACGTTACATGTTCAGCGTCCATCCGACTTCGAGTTCTTCACAACACAATGTCCTTCAACAGGGCAGTTCCACTGATTCCTTCGACGAAGAAACCTCAGGAAAGCGCTCAAACGATCGTGACATTTCGTGCAAAGCGCATCGAATTTCGCTTTTCTCCTTTTCTTCATCGAAACGAATCGACATTCCTGGCGCGGCCAGTTCTTTGTCCCTCTTCTGGACGGTGAATCACTGATCAGATTCACTGACATGTTGGCTACATGAGACAAAGAACCATCTACTTCAACTGTGCCTTGTCGAACAGAAACAAACTGACCTTGACAGTGAAATAAGAAATGAGAACATCAGGAAAAGTCACCGCCGTGTACAAAACTTCAGAAGACTGCAGTCATGTACGACCAGTGCTAGTGCAGTGTCCAAAATCGAAAGAGCGCGATCCGCGACCCGCGCGCGGACTGAGCAGGACAGGCCAGTTGGTTGGAGTAGTAAAATACTACTCCCTAGTCAGCAGTGTGTACAACAGTCGCATGTAGACTGCACACAACTGGTCTTTGTAGTGCATCGCAGTTTTGGGCGATAAAAAACGAAAAGCGAATCGCAGCCAGTGAATTTTGATTCGCAAACTGCGATGCGAACCCGGATAAATCGATCCCTGGGATTAGTATTACCATTGTCAGCATATTCAAGCGCACTAGCTGTTCACAGAGTTCTTCTAGAGTAACGAAGCAGGGCTATGTGTCGGCGACGTTTCTCTCGACCGTTTTTTTGTTTGTTACTTTGGTCATCATTTCTGCAGGTTTAGGACACACTCGCACAGAGCAAAGGTACGTTGCCACTACTCTCGTGCCAGCTTTGCTCAGAGTGTCCCATGAACACTCAATGTACATAGAAGAATTGTCTACTGAGAGGGGAGAATAGCGTAGTGTGAGTCATACCTGCAATCCCCCCCCCCCTTTTTTGATGCCAGGATGCAACGTTAACGTGGAGACCTCTGGTCGGTCTAGTTGCTCCCTGTACATCGGCACGTCGTCCCTGCATCCCTTGGGTCTTGTTTTGTGTTTGTCTCCACATGTCTATTGGTAGGGCTGTATTCTTATCAAAAACAAAAAAACAACAACTCGTGACCACTACTCCTGATCAGAATTTAAAGGAAGTTAGGGGCCGTCCGTAAATATCGAACTTTTTTCACCAAACGAATTATTTTAGTTTAGACCCAACCCCTCCCTCCCTCCCCCTCAGAACGTTGAAGGGGAAGTATACCCTAAAATCAAATTTTCACCAGTTGTAGTCTTCGGGGTGCGGAGTCGAATGGTCTTGGTCCGAGGAAGCTGAGACGCTCCCTTCCTACTTGAATCCCAATCGAACTCGCGCACTTCCACCGAAACTGGGTGACTGCGCCCTACTAGATGGGGATTTGTATGCAAAATGTCACTAAAAGCGCCATTTCGTTCTTATAAAAGCACGGATGACCGCGATTGGCCCATATGTTGTAGTCTTTTTGACGCTGAGTCGACTGGTTTTGGTCCGAAAAGGCTGCAATGCAGCGTTCCTCCTTTATTCCCAATCGAACATGGTTGAACAAGCGGTCACGTGCTCCTGCGTACACCAGTCACCTGGTCACCGTGCCTGCAGGGTACAACTTACTAGCTTGTTTGACCTTTTTTGGGTGCAGTCCTGTCACTCGAGTTGAACTCGAGTTGAACCTTGGTGTGAAAGTTGTCGCCTGCTGGCGCGGTGACCACGTGATTTGGGCACCCAGGAGCACGTGACCGCTTGTTCAACCATGTTCGATTGGGAATAAAGGAGGAACGCTGCATCGCAGCCTTTTCGGACCAAAACCAGTCGACTCAGCGTCCAAACGACTACAATATATGGGCCAATCGCGGTCATCCGTGCTTTTATAAGAACGAAATGGCGCTTTTAGTGACATTTTGCATACCAATCCCCATCTAGTAGGGCGCAGTCGCCCAGTTTCGGTGGAAGTGCGCGAGTTCGATTGGGATTCAAGTAGGAAGGGAGCGTCGCAGCTTCCTCGGACCAAGACCATTCGACTCAGCACCCAGAAGACTACAACTGGTGAAAATTTGATTTTAGGGTATACTTCCCCTTTAAAAATGTTGACATGCATTATTATTATTATTATTATTCATAAGAAGGGGTTTGCTCCCCACACCGGAGCTCGCGCTATTCCGCCGACTTTACTTGACACTTGACTGACTCACGACTGCCATCCAGAGCACACGAGAAGTCCATCGAACCTTCGACTCGGCAAACCTGCAAGAAAGCACCACTCCCTGCTCAATACACAGTGTTTCGGGGAATTCACCCCTCATCAGTTGAGCTTGAGCAGGCTGAGGAAGATTGTGCCTGAAGAGCACCACTTATATAGTGCTCTCCAGGCACAAACATCACCAGGGATACAAACTTACAGAGACGCTCCGTTTCCAGCGCGACAAACACCTCGTGAACACCAGATAGCAGCGTGATAGCAGCGTGAGTCAGTGTATAAGTATATAAGTGGTGCTCTTCAGGCACAATCTTCCTCAGCCTACTCAAGCTCAACTGATGAGGGGTGAATTCCCCGAAACACTGTGTATTGAGCAGGGAGTGGTGCTTTCTTGCAGGTTTGCCGAGTCGAAGGTTCGATGGCCTTCTCGTGTGCTCTGGATGGCAGTCGTGAGTCAGTCAAGTGTCAAGTAAAGTCGGCGGAATAGCGCGAGCTCCGGTGTGGGGAGCAAACCCTTTCTTACAAATTATCGCCGAAGTCGCAACCACTACTTCGTATTATTATTCATACATATAAAACGGTCATGTACTTGAATTAATGTTTTCTGAAACGAAATTGGTCAACCTCCTCCCACCCCATAACGAAATTATTTCGTTTTGTGAGAAAAGTTCGATATTTATGGACGACCCCTTAATCTCCAACTGTTGCACAGCGATTGCACTAAGTGAGACCCCCCCCCCCCCCCCACCATGTAAAGCTGACGTACCCGAACCCAGTTCCCTTAAATGTCGATTGGTGAATTAAAATACCATACCATACCATGTCACATGACCTACATACATATGCACTTGCTTGTGCACACCTCCAAGTACACATACTCTGAAAGCTAAGCTGTAGTCTGAAGGAGGTCACACACACACACACACACACACACACACACACACACACACACACACACACACACACACACACGCACACACACACACACACACACACACACACACACACACACACACACACCAAGCAGCATTCACACAAAACTTCCAGGTCATCAATGGACGGACATGTGCTCCCAAAACTTGGGTCGATTTTCGCCGAGTACAATTGTACTTAAAAGTGACCTCGCCTTGGTGACAAATCTGGATTTCTGACGAACGTATTGGCAATTGTCCACTTGTCTGATTCAGGCGTTGTGAGCGCCACGTTCAACGCAAACACCTATACTGATACGTGCTTGCATTCGACCAGCACGCCTCAGAATGTGTGCATCTTTTCCTAAGAGCGATAAGTGTTTTCTTACTTCTGTAAAACATGTAATTTTAGGTGGATTAAAATTTCGGTGCCAGGGACCTGCCAGGTTTCAGGTGTAATTCAGAGTTAGGTGACCAGCGTTCCCTTCACATACAGTGCATACTCTAGTGCATTTTAGGTGTAATTTAAATTTAGGTGCTTGGTTTCTCTACCAAAATCACCGAAATTAAAGTTACACCGAAAATTACATGTTTTACAGTATTCCTATACTCTGTTCCCTCGTTTTAATTGGTTTTTGTCTGGTCAGGTACCATCCGGCTAGGGATCCCAGTTCAGAACTCTACAAAGCCAAGCGCATTGCGCACGGGAGTCCGCCACCAGACGATGTAAGGCTATACGATGCTTGATGTTCTGGCCAATATATTTTTTAATCCTTTCCGTGCTGGTCCCTTTTACTCCAGCAAACTGCCGTTCCGGCGCACTGACTCTCCTGGTGTCGTTTTCGCGCACAGGGCCGAACGAATTTTTCTCTCAATTCAGTTCACCTTGATGGATTTTCATCATCCTGGGCTTGTTGGAAAGATCAGGACCAGTCCATCCTGGTAGCTCTCAACTCAATATGCACGGCGGTGCAACTTCTACATCCTCTCGAAACTACCTCACGATACATCGGAAAAGCAAAGGAACTCGATCTCACATTCTTTTTCAGCTTCTTGCTCCAGTTCAGCCGATTTGCACGATTCAAACTGTGCTGCAAAGCTGAGATCCACGTGCTTCCGCTGGTATCCATTTCGCGTGCACTGTGCCAAAGGGAAATCCCCTGGCACGCAACAGAAAACTGCGAACGCATGAACAAAAAATCACGATCGCTCACTGCCGTGAATTCCGTGTCCACTCCGTCGCCGCTCCGTCAATCTTTCTCCTATCGCCAAGAACTTTATATCGCTGGAAAGCTGGGCTCAATACCTTTCCAGCGGTGTATTGATTGTCGCGATACACTTATGTTTGACGGAGTTACGAACGTTTGTACACTGATCTATGCACTGCGATGTACTGCGCAAGTCTCATGACGTCTATAATAATAATAATAATAATATTCGCGGGATCCGCGTCGGCATCGCTTGAATGTTAAGAAACACACAAACTAGCCTTCGCATCCGCAGGCCACCACCATGCCTGTTAACCTTAGTGGCGAATGCAGACCTCACAAGTGAGTCAGGGGAGAGGAGGTTAGTCTCTCAACCAATCGGGCGTGTAACGGCCCATAACCCTGTAAACTGCATCCTTGTTATTCTCATTTATCATTTATCGTTTGGCGCGCATGACATCTGTAGACGTCATTAGCACGGAAAGGATTTAGATTGCTGTATGTCTTGTTCAGAGATGTCTAAGGTGTGGGTATTGCCGATACCCATTCAGGCCGGATTGGACCGAAACCTGTTTGCAATTTGACAAGAAATGCGTGTTGGAACATGTCTGTACAATTATGTAGCATGACGGCCTCATTCTGGAACTTCTCTATTGCCTATGGTGTGTTGGGGGTATAACAGTCCTAAACCCTTACCCCACCACCTCTTCCTCCCTCCAGCCAACCAACATTCCTTTCCCTCCGGCTGGTTTAATCTGGTACTCTTCTTGTTGGCCTTTGCATCAGAGAACAATCAGGGAGAGAGCGCGGCAGAAAGTGCAGAGCTACATCAGGGAGCTCGACTCTGATAGCGACACCTTGACTGACACCACTCTGGACGACACAAGTGATATCTCAATCAGCGAGACTAGCATGGAGGTTAGGCCTCGCCGGCGGCCGGAGTCTGTGAGGTCCTCGTCCCAGAGCAGACAACTCAGTCGTGTTGCTGGCACCATTGGTTCACAGGTACGTAACTGTTTGTACGTGTGCCTGTGTGCGGATAGGGAGTACGGGTGGAGTTTGTGTGTGTGTGTGTGTGTGTTTTCATATGTCTGTGCGTGTGCATGTGTGGTGCAAGAAGTTGTATGGTGGTGGTGGAAGAGGGATTGAGGGGGGGGGGGGGTCGGCCGTTTGTGGTCCGTTACGTGTTTGTGTCTCAGCATCAGAATGCAATCAGCGCGGAATGTGGGCTTGCAACAGAGTGCGGACTTTGTGCCTGCACTACGATGCCGCCGTGAGATAGTTCCAACCGCCCCCCTCCTCCCCCCCCCCCCCCCATCTATACACATTCACACACCAATGCATGTTGTGTGTACACTTTAGGCGAATTGCAGCACATGTTCTCTCTGTGTTTTGCCCAGCTTTCCACATTAGACAGCTCTATCAATCGTCTTGCCGAGAGGCTGGAGAGTGACGTGCCATTGGTGATAGCACCAACATCGCTTTCATCGTCCACAGCCACAGCTATCCCACCACATGATGAAGACACCGGAGCGGTTTATCGACCATCATCGTACCAGTTCTCGGCACATCGTCCATCCAGTTCAGCCACCGTCACCGGTCCAGCGTATGACAGAGCGCTACGAAGTAAGGAGAAACCAGGTCAATTCCAGACCGCTCTTTTGTCTCCAGTGATCGTATAGATGCAGGTTTCACACTACACTCTTGCTGGATCTTGGTGGGTAGGTGCAGAAGATGGGACTTCCCCCCCCCCCCCCCCCCCCCCCCAGTTATGCGTGTATACTGGCGATTCTGTATAGAATTTCACAAACCAGGCGTGTCAGTGAGTGCTTTGACGGGAGCTGTATCCTGCAAAACCGCCAATGGTGACGCACCTTGAATCCAACATGATTCCATAATTTCCAGGACGCCGAACGACTGAGTACACTCGCAAACCACAAACTATTCTCCATTTTGATTCTCGTATGAGACGATATTCTGCTTGACTTCTCATGCACTGTTCTTGCGCAGGATTGGAGACAGAACGTGGGCTGGAAAGGGCCAGAAAAATGTGAGTATATGCTGTGGCACCTCTGCTCTTTGTAAAAGTGCAAGGGAGTCGGACACGGTACGGTCACTACGGTATTGACCGTACCACTTTTTTGCCCCAGGTACTCCGGGAATCAATAAAATTCACTGATCTGGACTCTAAATTTCCAAAAATGTTCGGCTCAGTCATCCCTCCTTCATGAGTAATGTGTACTTCAGATGGCTGACCGAACCACACTAAAATACCTTCCGACGCCCTTGGAGTATACTATTAGCTGCAGGCCCTTTGCACTCAGAATGGCATGGTGAAGGCTGTGGGACATTCGTGTCATTTTGGTGCTTGTGTTTGTGTGTGTGTTTGGGGGGGGGGGTCGGTGTGTGTGTGTGTTTGTGTGTGTGTGTGTGTGTGTGTGTGTGTGTGTGTGTGTGTGTGTGTGTGTGTGTGTGTGTGTGTGTGTGTGTGTGTGTGTGTGTGTGTGTGTGTGTGTGTGTGTGTGTGTACATGGTGTGTATACATGTGTATGCATGTGCATATGTGTGTGTGTGGATTCTGAGGTGTATGTGTCTGTGTGTGGCTTTGTCTGTGCGTCTGTGCTTCAGCATCCGCATCTTTCTGTGTAACGTTATCTGCGTAACCTGTTCATACATAACACTGCCTGTTTCTCTTTCTATGCGTACAGTGCTCGTGAGGAGCAAGACCGCAAGAGAAGGGTGGAGGCAGAGCAGATGGCAGAGGAGGCATCTCGGCGACGACGTGTCCAGGCTGCCCTAGACCTCACTGCACCCGGACCGCAGCTGAGCACGTCACGAGAGAGCAGCCGCTCCATGCTGCGACGCACCGGTGGTATTGGGCCTAGCCGTACCAGCGGTTCTCGCTCTAGCAGGCCCCTGGCCGCTACCTATCGTCCGTCGTCCCACACTGCTTCCACCGCCAGCTTTACAGTAGGGCGCAACAGCTATGGCAATGCGTATGTAGCCTCACCTCACGTCGCACCAATGGACCTGGAAACACGAGCGGTGCAGCGGTCGGATGGTGAGACCGTCTATGAACTTCACTTGACGTAGGGCGTACCGGAGCTATGGTATCAGTGCATCTGATGATCATGCCAATTAATAGTCTTTGCCGGCCGAATGTAGCACTAGAACATGGCCATACCCGCCATCGTACATCCCGTGGGGTCCACTAGTAACTAACTATCATGTACACACTATCCTGTTGTTGCATCGCCATTACATCATCATTATGTCACCATTACATCATCGTTATGTCATCATTACGTGATCAACCTCTCCTGCAGGGAGCAGGACAGGCGTGTAGGATGACACAGGTGAACGCTGTGCGCTTCGGCAATATCCTAACAAAACTATTGTCACACTTACAGAACCACATTCAGAGTACTCTATTTGTTCCACTAATCATGGTCCAAATGTTTGAGTGGTGCGTAACACGAATCAGGGCAGCATCCCCTTTCCTTCCGACTTATGCCTTTGTTCTCATCTTGACCATCAGCCCCACTATCATGCTATCACATCACATTAAACAATTGTTTTGCTATTTGTGTTGGCCAGAACTCTCTAATCGTGACTGCACACTTGATAAACGCAATAATTTATGTTTTTGTTATCACTAGTGTTGTAATGTTCTGGTCATGTGAGTGGTTTGAATGGGGCATGTCATGGTTGCCGTCACTCATGCACGCACGTGTATGTGTACATGAATGTGTATGTGTGAGTGTGTGCGTGTGTGTGTACATGTATGTATGTATGTATGTATGTATGTATGTATGTATGTATGTATGTAAACTCGAAGGGAGTTGTGGTTGCTCGTGAGAGTGCTCAATACACCAAGGTGCAGAGCCTAGTACACACACTTGAGAGGGACGAAAAGCGTTTCTGCTGTAACTCTGAGTTTCACGGTTTTAACCGATCATCAGACAGCAACTTGACTACAATTTTCAGAAGAACATGATTGTGGTCGCATGAGCCTAGGCCTAAAGTGTATTCTTTTTTTGCGCCTATTTTTGCACCCCATCAACCAACTCACGCATTTTTACAATTACACCATCAGCCCGGATCATCCATTCGCGCTATGATCCAAGCTTGCAGCCTATATCAATCTTATCTTCTGAAAATTGTAGTCAAGTTGCTGTCTGATGATCGGTTAAAACCGTGAAACTCAGAGTTACAGAAGAAACGCTTTTCGTCCCTCTCAAGTGTGTGTATGTATGTATGTATGTATGTATATATGTATGTGTGTACATGTATGTGTGTACATGTATGTGTGTGTATGTGTACATGTATGTGTGTGTACATGTATGTGTGTGTATGTATGTAGGTATGTATGTATGTGTGTGGGGGGGGGGGGGGGGTTGGCACTGCTAGATCCTGGACTTTTCAGCTTTGTGGCTTCTTTTCCCGCCCTTCCGGTCCTTTCCTTCTCTGTTGGCAAACCAACCAACCAAAGAAGGAAAGGAAGAGCGGAAAATAAGCCACAAAGCTTGGATGTTCAGCATACTGCGCAGTCTGGGCAAACCACTAGGGTACCAGCTTTCTCTCTCCATCGTGACAGTGCTCAAGAGGGACTCGTGCTTCCACTACTGCCTGGTTTTCATTGCGGACGTGTAGTTCACGCCCAACCCAGCCCAGCTGACAGTTTTACTTGTGCAGTGACTCGCATTTCCCGTGGTAACTATAGCACAGCTCATGCCAGTCGGTTCGATCGACACTAAATCAGTAGATCTACCATTGAAAACCCTGACGCCGGGTTGTCATGTGTAGCCATTTCAAAAGAATTTGGCGTGGCTCAAGAGTTGTTGGGTGAATCGTCTTGTAGCGACTCGTAGCACCTTATGTCCTTATTGAAGAAGGATTGGAACCTTTGCCCTTAAAAGAGGCTTTTGATCTCTCTTTCCGCGAGGCCAGCAATATTGCTGAGTGCACCGAGCGCTAAGAAACGCTACGCCTCGTCAAGCACGGTACAAAATTATTATGCAGCAACTGCGCGTTCCCATGGTGACTGATGAAGGTGAGTTGGCGTTGCGTTCCGGCGACTGTTTTACTAAAAAGTAAGTTCTAATTCTCGCGATGTTTTATGATTGTTGAGATTTAAAAAATTGTGCAGCAAAGAGACGTATACGTAGACCACTGACGTTGGTGTCGTTGGTGATGGTGTAGGGGTTTCGTGTTGTGAATGCCGGGCTGCAGTGGAGCTTAGGGACCGGCGGATTCTGCTCGAAAAGGTGGCAGATTCTGCTCGAAAAGCAGTGAAATTGGCAGAACCATACTAACCTTATGGCGGGAAATTCCTCGAATTCTGCTCCATTTTTGTATCCACATACCAAACATGCATGAAACTTACCAGGAAAAGTACCGAATTCTGCCAATTTTTCTGCCGGCAGAATCTGCCGGACCCTAGTGGAGCTTGCGCACAGAAATGTCGCGTTGCTCTGCTATCCTACATCATGTCACTCAATGATCTGACCCCTGCTCTCAGTGCCCGCCTCTACAACGGATACGTCCATCCCTCCATCGAGTATGCTTCACTTTTATGGAATAGAAGACTGACCGCGTGCAGGAAATATTGACACTTTGGAATGATCCTTAAAAACGGACTGACCAAAACGTGTTGCAGATCGCCAGGCTGTTTCTTTCGTTATTGATAAAGGTACACCTTTCAGAATGCACCCAATTGGCCAACCTCAGTGTTTGCAAGATGCTAGATTTTCGGCTTGAGGAAATAAGGTTCGCCGTACCAATTTTCACTCCCAACTCTAGACACTGCTGTCGGCATTTATTCGGGAGCATAGTGGATTTATGTGTTGCTCCCTACGGGGAAGCTCGCGCTTTTCCTGCCGACTTGAATTCTCACTTGACTGACTCACGACTGCCATCCGGAGCACACGAGAAGTCCATGGAGCCTTCGACTTGGCAAACCTGCAAGAAAGCACCACTGACTGGCGTACGCAGGAGCACGTGACCACTTGTTCAACCATGTTCGATTGGGAATAAAGGACCATTTCAATATCACGCAGAGTGCGAGACGCCCTAACAAAATTATTCTCCCTAAAGCAAAGACCACATCAAAATCGTTGTTTCTCTTCCAAACCTCCCTCTTATGGAACTGCCTCCCACCAAGACTAACTGCAGAACCATCCATTATTGTTTTCAAGAATGAGCTTCGCAAACTCACTTGCAAACATAGTGCTTCGCTCCCCGGTATGCCTACGCCATGTACATACCCCCCCCCCCCCCGTGTGCTCCCCAACGCATTCACGCTGCACAACTTTTCACTACTTTCACTTTTGGCAACGCCTGTAGCAACGGACAGCGCTGGGGACGCGCACCGTACCGGTAGTCTACTTGTACGTCATGCGTGCAGTTCGTTTTTTCGAGCTCGTAGATTTTTTGTCTCTTTTTCAGCCCAGCCGGCATCAGGCCGGACTGGAGGAAGGTATAGTATTTTTAGGTAGACAGTATAGTGTAGTTTTAGTCTAGATAGGACACCGGTGGCAGGCCGTCGTCATGGGTGAGCTTTCAAGTGAAGCCCAGACGAAACTGCTTTGTTCCCTCCCAGGGATCGAGCACTCGCTGTTAGGAGTTGTGCAGACACTATCTTCCCTAGCCACAGAATCCGCAGACAGTGCGGCGAGGATGAGCCGCAGAATTTCAGAGCTATCTGCAGAAGTCAAAGGACTAAAGGAGGAATTGGTCGCCCTCAAGGCCTCCGCCATTGCGAAATCGATGAGCAGCAGCAGGCCAAGGTCAAGGGCAGTTGGAGCTGGACACGCAACAACAAGCGGCAAACCGTCAACGGCTGTCACGGGGGACAAAGTACAGCATAGTACGGTGCACCGTAGCACAGACTCTGCTGAAACTCCGTTGGCAACGCCTGTAGCAACGGACAGCGCTGGGGACGCGCACCGTACCGGTAGTTGTGAGTCCCACGCTGCAGCCAAGCATGCGGATATGTGTGCAACAGGTGAAGACGCCAACCGTTTGCAAAACACTGGTTTGCTAGGCAACAAACAGCAACAACAACGATCTGTACCACCACTCTCCCCTGACAGTGACATCTGGACAACAGTGTCAAACCACAAACCTCGTGGACCGAAAAAGGCTATCTTCTTTGTGGGTAACCTAAAACGTAGTACCACAGCCGACCAGCTGACGGCATATATCCAGCAGAGAGTAGCCACCACCACTGACAGAACGCTGGATGGACTGTCTGCAAGCATTCTCCAGTCGAGTGCTGGTGAGCCAGCCCGGAAGTCGTCCGCTGCACACGTTACAATGTATGCACGAGATGGTTGGCTACTACGATCGAGAAACTTCTGGCCAGGCCGGCTGTACTGCAGGAAGTGGCGATTCCGTGACACTGACGACTCCTCGCCAGCAGGAACTGATGACTCATCGCATGACACTGACGACTCCTCGCCAGCAGGAATTGATGACTCATCACCATCAGGAACTGATGACTCATCGCCATCAGGAACTGGCGAAAGAAACCAGGCAGTATCTGACACCAACGAGCTATTTCAGCCAGAAATCGAAGTAGGAAACACGCTAGCGGCAGCAAAGGATAGCACAGCCAACCAGCTAGACTCTCTACCAGGCCTCACACCCCGTGGAAAGGCACGGAGCCATGAGTCTACGATCTCTCCGGAGCACCCTGATTCCAAGAAAATGGACTCATGAACCCGCATGCCCAACCATTCTTCCCGCGACAGAAGCCGGCCACCCAGGGACCATTGTTCAAATTACTGCTAACAAATGCATTTGGCCTGCTGAGTAAATTTGGAGAGTTTCAGCACACAGTTATGTCCACCTGCCCGGACATTGCAATCGTCACCGAGACGAAGCTTACCTCTGAGAAGTGTACAGCAATGGATGTCACGCTACCTGGCTATTCACCCCCAATCCGCCGAGATCGTACAGCGCAAGGCGGTGGAGTCGCCGTCTGGGTACGTTCGGGCCTCGCCTATAGCCACATGGAGCAGATAACCTGCGGTGACCTGGAAGTCATATGGCTTACAGTGCAACTGCAAACAGGGTGTCGTGTTACAGTGTGTGCCGCTTATCGGCCAGGTTCATGTGCAGATCATGACATCTCAATCCTGGAACATATTGACAGCACAATCGATCGAGTGCGACAGCAAGGCGCCAAGCTCGTAATTGCCGGGGACTTCAACGTGCACAACAGCAGTTGGCTTCAGAGCAGCAGGACGTCTCTAGCCGGCGAAGCCGCTGAGGATATGTGTGCCCTGCATGGCCTCACCCAGCATGTGGCAGAACCAACCCGCGGAAACAACACTCTTGACCTGATAATGTCCGACTTCCAGGAGCCAGTGGAGGTAGATGTGCTGCCTCCTGTTGGTAAATCAGATCACGCTGTAGTTGTTGCCACATTCCCCGCTCGAGTGCAGCAAGAGAAGCGCACCCACAGAACTGTTTGGCGCTACAACCAAGCAGATTGGAACCGTCTCCGCTCCCACCTTAGGAATACCAACTGGTCTGACATCATAACGGATGACCCGGACACTTCTTGCCAGCAGGTGACTGCCACGATATCCAACGCCGTCGCTCAGTTCGTTCCGTCAAAGGCAATGACCACCAAGCCATCAGATC